AAACAGCGCAATATTTAGTAATACTGTTTTGTTTTTGCCCTGTGGCGAAATGGAATTATTTAGTGATTTAAAATATTTTTATTTGTTCTTGTTCGCTCCACCTCATGTTTCATTACTGTTCTCCTGAAAGCGCTGAATAATGCTTGGGTGTGGTTCAATAACATTGCAGAAATACCCTTTGATCATGTGTGAATATATACAATGTGTTGGCAGTGTTATTCAACAGTTGAGGGTAACTATGCACAATCCTTCCCGTGCCCTGCCAACTCCACAAACACATATTTTCCAGAAGGGGTCTCTGGGAAGCAATTGGAAATACTGTTGGACCCTTCCCTGATTCTCCCCTAAGTCTCTCCCCCACCCCCTACAACTCCCATCTGGATTCCAGAGACACTGAGCAAGCCCTACTGTTGAGACTTGGCAACTCAATAATAATAATAATTCTTACATTTGACATAGCGCCTTATCATGTCTTTGAGACGTTTCAAAGCACACAGAATATACCGTAAAGTCAATTAACTGTATACTTGGTGGGTGAAACTCAAAGGAGGTACAAATTGTTTAAAATGCAACCAGGGTAACCCACAGAGAAGGAAGCTTTTGAACAACTTTTTGGACTAAAATTTGAAGTGGACAAAAGTGATCTGAATTTATTTTTCACGTGGATACAGTGGGTTGAATGGTTCTTCCTAGTGCTATAAAACTAGGAATCTTCATGTCCAAGTCCAGACACTGTGTGCCATCGTTGAGAATATTGACAACCTTTTGAAGGCCTGTGGAGTCCTGTAGCTCAGTGGTTAGAGTACTCGCTTTGCAAGCGAGAGACCTGAGCTCAATTCCAGGCAGGTCAGGGCGAAACCTTGGGCAAGTTTCCTTACTCCACACGCCTAATAATAATCCCTCCAAAAAACAAAAACAATAATAAATTGGTCATTTTCAATCTACGACTGTTTGTGGGACATTGCTGTGCGCAATCGGCCGCCGCGTTCGCCCACAAATATACAGTCAATTCACTTTACAGTGTGTTCTGTGAAGCGCTTTGGGACGTCCTCCGGACATGAAAAGCACTATATCAAATGCAAGGATTATTATTATTATTATTATCACAGTGAGCTTGATCCTGTGTTGCCTTGTGTTCATCACACACACGCCCACAGTTTCATTAGAATGTCAGTATGTATGAACTCCCAACTAGATGTTGCTCCCTAACCCAGGAACACTGACCATTTGTGGAAACATCTGTTGGCCCAGCTGAGAGATACCAGAGCACAAACTAGGAATCTTATTCCAATCTGGTTCATATGGCTTTGTACCAAATGAGTCACAGATGGAGATTTTGCAAACTACTGAATTTGCTTCTTCTGAGAACTAAACCTCAGTCATTTTCATAACTGTCATGGATAAACGCCTTTCTTTATTTCAGAGGTATTTACGGTTTCCTATATTAAACTGGATTTGGAGAACGATATCAAATCTCACACAATTTCAGGGGGAAAAGTATAGACCTCAAATATATGGCCAATAAATGGATTATTTCTGTGTCTGTTCGGAGCACAGCTTGCACAGAATGCTTGTTTAGGCTTCCATTTAGTTCCCAGGGTGATAAATCTTGAGTGACCATTTCTTTGAACAAAAATGTAAAGAATGAATTGAAAAGCTTCCAGCATTCAATTCTTCGATGTCAGTTTTATATTGGCAGACTTTTACACTGTGCTGCTGATCTTGTAGCTTATCCACTTTCCATCTCATCATGTCCAAATAACTACTGGGCACTTTACACCATGCTTCCCGTTCATATCACACTATCCGATCAGTGCAATCTGATTTCTTTTTTAAACAAAAAGCAATTCTTACCTGAGCCAAGCCAAAACAAATGAAAGCTCTAGGGCATTTCTTAAAACTAACGTTTTAAAAAAATCACGATTGCTTGGAATTGGAGATATGTTTATGACAGCCATGAAGCATAACTAAGTTGCTTCATTATCTGTGTGCTAAATATGGAAGGCAGACTGACTGACTCCATGTACTTATGTACTTTATACCGAATCTTAAACAAGATTTCAGTGTTAGGCTTCATCTTGGTATGTTTAACTTTTGAAATTTCAACCAGATTTGTCTTATTATTTAACTTGTTTTTGGTTAACCTGTTCACAAAGTGCTGATCACGATCTGGTTGTCTTGTTTAAAGTGCAAAATTTTGATATCAACCTGTGGAAGTCACTGGTATTGGTATCAAAACCATCCTCATCCATATTTAAACATTTTATATGTTTGCTCCATTCATTTACATCATTTATTTATCATTTGCAGTATTTCAATGCAACTCTTTTTTGCATATTATTAGCCATGCTCTTTCCAATTGTCAGCTCACTACTTCCTGCTAAATTGTGTTAAATTAAAATGAATAATGATTTTGATTAAACAAAATAATTATGTTCTTGGTAAATTCTGTGTGTGTATGTGTAAAACATTGCAAGGAAAATGTGGCAGAAAATTCATCAAGCTTAGTTTCTGTTCAAATTTGCATTAACAGATGCCGTACAATCAATTCGTATTCATAATAATAATTTGATCATTCAATCCATGACAGTTTGTGGGACCCTGCTGTGCACAATTGACTGCTACATTTGACCCACAAAATATTCAGTTACAGCACTTTACAGTATATTCTGTGAAGTGCTTTGAGATGTCTCAACGGCATAACAAGGCGCTATATCAAATGCAAGGATTATTATTATTCCTAGATGTCCTATTTCTAGATGTCCAAGATATTTTTAATGAAGAATGCATTGTTTATGGGTCAATGACATTTGCACACTGCAGGATTGCTGTGTGCTCCTTCTTTAAAAGATAGCTTAGAAATCAATGCCAATGTACTGTGTACAAAAGCTGACCACATTCTGATTCATATCGGAAAATGTTTAACCAAATGAAACTAATAGTTTCTATTTCCATATTCAGTACATTTTAATGAATGAAGAATTAACGAACAGTTTCCAATTTTATTCACTTTGGTTGAAAAGACCTTCCAGCGGTGTTCAAACTACAAGCACTGTACCTGTACGGGACTCAAAAAGAGCTTTATGGTGCTCATGAAGCATCCGTGCACCTATTTAGCCCTGCGGTCAGGACTGTTCCAAACTGCAGTAGAGGCAGTTGTGGATTCACCACTAATTTACAGCCTTGTTGAGATGAAATTGGAATTGAAAATTCCCACGTACACATATATGCATTTCTCATTGTATTCATCAGAAATTGATACGGTATATATAGCCTGTGTATGGAATCAATGTGAGTTGAGGGACCGAGAGAGAGGAAAATGTGCAGCAAACAAAGGAATGCTTTACTATTCACTCATATTTTCCATGAGAGGTAAAAAGCTGCTGCCCTGTGGAAGCTGTGCTTCCTGATTCATTTTGTCATTTATGGCAGGCGTTCTCACCGAAGCCAAAAGGCCAGAGGGGAATTTTCCATTTTCCCGAACTGTGTGAAAGGTCCTTTAATTCACGGGGTTGATTTTTCCACCCACTATTTTCTTATATGAAAACATATCAGTGTACCTCGGTAATGGGGAAATATTTTGACAGCACTAAAACCCCAGATTTCCAGTTTTTTAACGAAAAAACAAGTAAAACTCTTATTCATTTCCAAAATCTGGTTGTTTCAAAATCAGTAGGACATAATCTTGTTCACTTGCCTGAAGATGGTTTATATAAATAATCCTTGCATTTGATATAGCGCCTTATCACGTCTTTGATATGTCTCAAAACGACTCACAAAATATACTATAAAGTGAATTGACTGTTGATTTTGTGGGCAAAACAATAAGAACTTTTTTTGTTCTGCAGCACCTGTACTGCAATGCCTTCCTTTTGGATGTACCAAGGCTTTTGTAGAACAGGTATATTTTTCAAATATTCAAACGAATGAGTCACTCAGTTATTTCTGTTTGAATTGTGAAACAAGAAATGGCTTTATTTAGGTGTTACTTTGGGATATTCTTTCTCCAAAGTTTCTGCTCCGAGTTCCAAGCCACAAACTTGTCTGTTGTTATTGTTCACCAGTCGCTAATCTGGGTTTATGGACATACTGTGTCACCCTGTTGAAGGTGCAGTCATTTCCATTGTGAGTTTGCTAAGTGTTGTTCAACAGTGTTGAAGCACATTAATCATTCTCTCTCAATGTACTTTACCAGCCTGTAGTGATTATCTGCTGGTTAGAGAGTACATCACAACGCTGGTATGTCCAAGTTGAGAAATGTGGTGCTTGTAAATAATACAGCCAAGTCACTGACTGTAAAACCACACCTGCTCTTGTGAGTTGTACATTTAGCAAATCTGCAGTGACCAAGTGAACGTACAATTGAGTGTTTCACTTACAAGGATAGTGCGATGACGTAAGAGTTTCCCAAAATATGTAGAGTAAGTGTTTTTAAAAACCGTGTGCTGGACCCTCAAGGGAAATGTATTGCAATGTTACTGAAACAGCAGCCGGAGAGGGGGGGCTGCATAAAGAGCAGCTAGAAAATATGTATCCCCGGCCCCTACGAGAGCAAATTTGTGGTTGAACAGACTCTCGGGTATCTGGGTGTGTTTGAGTCATTCAGTCCATGCTGTAAACCTATAGACCGGTATAGAGCACTTGAACGATTTAATAGCAAGCTGGAATCCTCATAAGTTCTGCATTACTGCTAAAACTAGTTTGTGAATACAATACAATATTACATTTGTATAGCGCCTTTTACGTTGGGAGGACGTCCCCAGGCGCTGGACAGTCAGGGAGGGTGAAGGGCAGGGAGTATAGTAGACGCCTATGATGTTGTGAACTGCAACCACCTGCCTTCAGAGTATATCTTTCAATCTCGTCATTACTGTTGTCGGAGCAATACCTTAGCATTAATAATAATATTTGTCGAAACATTTCTGGTCTGTGCAACTCTCGGAACTAGAACAAACCACTTCTGCCAAAGTTACTGACGTATGTTTCTCTCCCTTCCACAGCATGTCTCTTTCGATACAATGCGTTGTCACTGATTTACTTGCTGTACCTGCTGTTGCTGCCACTATTTTTTGGCCCCAGTGAGCGCAGTATTCGAGGTAAGCACTTCTTTACTTTTTACCTTGTTGATAAGAATTCACAGAGATCAACTGGGTAGTCGTTAGCCATTTATGTGCGAGTGTGAGTCACGCAGCAGAAGCTCACTATAAAGCCTACCTTATAACTCTGGTCTGCTTATGAGTCTGATGCTCTGTGGACGCTCATTTGGCTTTGGAACACAGACCAGCTGGCTTCCCAAGGATTTAAAATAACTTCTGGGTTGCCATCGTGATTATTCTTTGAGGGCTGGGCATGGCGCTACACGTGCAGGGGGTGCCCTGGAAGTAACGTCAGCGGTGACCTGATGACCTGGAAATTGGCCTTTCTTTAGCATTTAGTGTGCAGCTTGCTTGGCTCAATTGGGCCTCATCCCCCAAGTGGAGCGAGTTCAAGATGCTCATTCTTACCTTTAAATCCCTCCATGGTCTCACCCCATCTTGTATTGTATTGTGTATCCACAGCACTCGGAGAGCGATATTGGCGGTGAATTTGGTGAATAAATTATTTACTCTAAGTTAAATCTATGCTTCTGTTTATGTTCAGGTGGCAGCTTTTGAATGCTCCTTGCATTTTCTCCACTCAGTAATTCCAGCTGTTATGATAAGAGGGACCTATTCAATTCGATTGGCTACAGCCATAGAATATTATCTCCTTATACACGGTCTTGTGGTGGCTGAAATTCCAGATTTTTCCAAATTTTTTGCAGTCAGTGCTTAATGATTTATTTAATTGTCTTCAGTTCACTGATGCTGAACCCCAATGTAAACAAACAGTTTGACACAAAGCACATGTGTTAACTGGCTACAGCTAACATATCCGTGCAAGTGGCTTTTTGAAGTTCATTGACTTCGTCAATCGTTGCTGATTATTAGGAACCTATTTAGACAAAAATCTGTATTAAATTAATATTTGGCTTATCTCGCTATTAAAATATACTTTCAGGTCATCAAAATCATAATTAATGAGGCCTATTATGTCCATGGCTTTCATTGTTGACATTAAGCTTGATTTCTGTGAGAATGTACTTTATTGTGTGATTTGTCACCACAGCTTGAGTCAGGCAGATTGCTTCTGGTTGTGAACCAACTCTTGAGACTCAGACTAGTGAATTCCTTTCATCTCTCCCCAATGAATGCTACTGTCAAGATGGTGATTATAATCCTGCTCAAAGAGAGCCTGGATGTACTTTAGTGTATTCCCTTTTTCTTCCTTCATTTCCCAAAAGGTACCGCTTGCTATATGGTTGTAGGGATCCTCATGCTTTGCCAGTAAGAACTTTGATATTCCCCCCTCCCTCACACACTTCAACCACTTCAATTGTATTCTTGGATCTAATTTTAAAACAGTTATATTATTGTTCTCTAATTGTTCAAAGCCATGCTGGAGCAGTCATGCTGGGGAAATGTCTGCCTCAATACCTGTGCGTTAATCATTATCATGTCCTGCCAGAGGGAAGGAAAAGAAAATGCTTGTGAGTCAGTTGCTGCAAGTTCATAAACAACAGCAATTTGCATTTGATATAGCGCCTCATCACGTCATTGAGACCCCTCAAAGTGCTTCACAGAATAAGGTGGAAAAGGGAGTATCTGTCAAGATCCAGGCCATCAATCCTCTGTGACCTCGTGGCTTTTTGTGGCACCTTGTTGATGCCATTAGTTGAATGGAAAAAACAGTGACTGCACTTGATGGTAATATATTCTGACCCAACTGTGCTACCAAAGAGCTGTGGTGTATTTGTTCAGTTTAGTAAAGGCGTGTATTAAAGAGTTTTGAATTGGCATTACAGTTTGGTTTTAAATTCCAGAAATTACTCCAAAGTTAAAGAGGGCTACAGTTTGTCTTTGAAGGTGATTTGGACTGATGGTTGTTATGATCTGGAATGCACTGCCTGGGAGGGTGCTGGAAGCAAATTCAATATTAACTTTCAAAAGGGAATTTACTTGGATATTTACTTGAAAAGGAAAAATTGCAGGGCTATGAGGAAAGAGTGGGGGAGTGGGACTAATTGGATAGATCTTTCAAAGAGTTGGCACAGGCACGATAGGCCAATGGCCTTCTTACGTGCTGTAAGATTGTCTGATTCTGACTGTGCTACCAAAGAGCTGCGGTGTTTTTGTTCAGTTCAGTAAAGGCATGTATTAAATAGATTGGAATTTGCATTAAAGTTTGTGTTTAAATTCCAGAAATTATACGAGAGTTGAAGAAGGCTACAGTTTGGCTTTGAAAGTGATTTGGATTGAAGGGTAAATCAAGTGTCTATAACGCGTGGCGCATTCCTGAGCAACTCTAGCGTTAGCTCAGATGCCCCAATGGATTGCTTTCTCTTGAACTGTTGAAGAGATTTCCAGCTGGTGAAAAGCTAAATTGTAAAATGTATCAGGTAATGGGGCAGTCAGCTTTTTTCCCCGCGCATTAAAAGGTCATCGTCAATCTGCTCAACTGGTGATCAGCACCCTGCTGATACATATACACATGAACTGAGCTTGGCTTTGAATGATTAGAGAACAGTTATATAACTCCATGAGATCCTGCCTCACCACTCTTAACACAATGGCAGAACTGCTTTGCAACTGTCTGAAACATTATACGGCAAAGAATCATTCAATCATTAATCATTTCTTTAATTTGTTTCCTCTATCAACAAAATACCCTTAAAGACCTTCTTCAAAATATCTTGGGGAACATTGTCTGCCTGTTAACTTGCTCAAATTATAATCCCGATGGAGAACTTTAATTAACGGTAGTTGTGACAGTCCATATTGCTGCATTTCCCAATAATTGGCTTGCAAAGGAATGCATTCTTTCAGGGGAAAAAAGTATCTATTGTGAAAAAAGCCATTGACTTTGGCAAGAATCTAGTTGGACAAGTTAGAAATTTCAATCCTTGTACAAGTCGAAGTGCAATGGTCTCTTTCAGTCAACGGAAATATTTCTTCACTGATGGTACTGTAAATTAAATTAATTTCTCTCTCCTCCTTCTCTCCCCCCACCCACCCCCCGGAACAAAAATAAAATATAAACTAAGCTTGGTGACTGGTTGAAGTGACTGAATCAGAGGCTTTGGAAGAGCGTGGTAACTATTCATTCCTCTGTTCTGAATCAGTGTCTGAAGGGTGCCATGGGAGCATCTCAATTTAATGAGTTTTCCGTTTAGTTTGAGCTGTACGTTCTAAAGCAAAATATCTACGCTAGACTTCAGCAAAGGGGTAGAGCTGGGGGAGTTATCCCTTTTCCAGTAAAGCAATGTTAACACAAATGATAAGAATGGTCATTTATTTTCTAGTGTCAGATTCAGTCATGGAGAGTCTGACAAGCACAGTGCAGAGGAAAGAAAGATCATTCTTTGTAGAGTGATTTGACCGCTCTTTGGAACTCTATCCAATAATATTTAACATTGTTTCATACATCTTCCAACACTTTTATTTTGTATTCTGGAAACAAAAATTGTTAAATTGCCATCCAGAGACCTTTTCTGAAATAGTCTTCAGATTAATATTGTTATGAAGAAGAATATTAAAAGGTGTAATAATATGGCAACAACCCTTTCACAGTTCATGTTTTGGTGGTGCCCTTTTTTAGCTGCAGAGTGTATATCTGTGGGTTTCTGTTCGAAGTGCAGGAAGCAAGTGAAATTTCCCAGTAATAGATATGTTAATTTCTGTGGTTTTGGGGGCTCAAGGTCTAACCTTTTGTGGAGACCTGCCTTAGGTCAGAGAGAGATTCTTAACTTTGTCAGGACAACTTTAAAATTATATTTTTCTCCCATCACAGACTTCAAAGATATGATCTGAAGCATGTGTACAGTCAGATGAGACACGATGCTTGGCACAGATTAAACACTGTCTTCAGAAATAATACAATGCATGAGAGGAATATTTTGAGCTTCAGTAGTTGCTGTACTTAATGATGCCTGTTTCTTTACAGGAAATCTCTGAGTCATGAGGAGTGAAGGCTTCTTAAAATAGTAACTAAAATCTGTTCTTTATCAGTTCCGAATTGTACTTTAGTCACATAACTACGAAAACAATGTTTTAAAATGCTGCTTTCCCACACTAGATTTTCGTAGTAGGTTGTGCTTAAAATTTGCCTTGGAGAATCCATTACAAAATGTACTCTGAGCATAGCAACTTGGAGACATCTATCGCTATCTCTCTCTCACACACACACTCACACACAATCATTTTTATCTTTTACATTTCTATAACTGCTGCTTCTGGGAAAACTTGACTGATAACCTTACTCATTAAACAAAGTGTTCACATGATTTGCAGATAATCAACTTTGCTCTAATGAGAGAAACATGTTGAAAAAGTGCATTATTGTGATGCACTGCCTACAAATACACAGTCACTTTAATTTAAAGTAAAGTTCTGTGAAGCGACTCAGTGAAGTGGTAAGGTACAATCAAATGCAAGGATTGTTTTTTCTCTCTCCCCAAACCTTAGTTTAACTAGAAAACCATGCAAGGACTGAATTATTATTTTTTATATATAAATACTGCTTAGGAAGGAACACAAGGTGATATTCTTGCAGGGGAATGTGTTTTCGCAAACTCCTGTCTCACAGAAAATATATACTGTACAAATGAAATAAACTAGTTTCTGCTGTGCCAAGAGTTGCATCAATTTTGAGATAAGTGCAAGCAAGTTTTGAAGACGATTTGCTTCTAAGGCTGTTCTGTTTGGAGTATTTTTAACGTAACATTTTTTGGCTTCCTTTGGATATTGCAAAATTTGTCCCAATGTTGGCAGTAGATTGTTGTGTTTTATATATTTTTTTTAGAATGTGATACTGACCTCCCTAACATTGTGGTGTCCAGAGTTGAATTCAAGTTTGCTGCTGATCCAGCTGATGTTTCTCCCTCGTGATAAAGTCGTGACTCTGTGTTTTCTTTCTTCAGGTCACACAGGCCGCTTGATCAAAGCTCTGCTGGTCACCAGCATCCTCTTCCTGTGTGCACACACTGGCTTTCAGATTGCTCTCTACGTTCTGAAGGACACAGATTTTTTGGGCTATAACTGTAAGTACAAACAAACAAACACTCGCCAACAGGCTGCGTCTTAAAAAGAAGATACATTAAAAAGGAAAAGTCCCTTAGAATTGCAATCTATTTAGAATAGTTAATTCTTCTTCACCTATTTGTCTTTCACATACCAATCGACTAGTTTCAGTCATCTAATTGGAATACATGGAGGCTAAGCTGAATTCCAAGGGTGAGGCTCTCTATGCTGAAGATTGGTAATCTATTAGTTTTGTGTTTCTACAAACCTCTGTTTAAGGGGAAGAGGTGCTATCGCCCACAAAATACACAGTCAATTCACTTTACAGTATATCCTGTGAAGCGCTTTGAGATGTCTCAAAGACTTGATAAGGCGCTGTATCAAATGCAAGGATTATTATTGTTGTTAAAGATAGGAACTTTTTTTTAAATTTAAAAAATCATCAAATTAAATCTACAAGAGCCAGTTGTGGGTAAGGCAACATCTGGGAGCGGTTCTAAAAATCTGAACCAATTGACTTAATATAAACTGTATGAACATTTAAAAACACAGTCCCACACACGCTGAAACGAGCCGCTTACGTTATGCGGAAAGTTGCTGTGAAAAAGTCTAGTCGCCGTACACACGAGAGGGGGCACGGTAACTTCATCTGCTGTGACCCGGGTAGAAATAAAAATAATCTCAGGGAAGGAATAAATAAAGTAGGAGTACTGCCACCCACATTTGCTGATTGCAGTCGGCTTGAATTTCATTCATTACGTTGATTGTCCAGCAGCGATTGGCAGCTTTCCTAGACCTGGCAACTGATTTTAACGCTCCAGCTGTATTGTGAACTTCGGATTGCTGGCAGAGCAACACAAACCCCACAGGGTGACTGTAGCTTGCGCGTCTGTAGCTCAGTCACTGCAAAAACACTTGCATTGTTGCCAGAAAAGCTCTTCGAAAACCAATTCAATCTGTACTATTAAACCTCAATTACCAAATTAATATTGAGATCTTGAAATACTTGACCCGTGTTTTATTTTCTATTTATTTATTATTATTAATACATACCTCAGAGTTCAGAGCCTTGGGATGTCCTCCCGATGCGAAAGGTGCTATACAAATCTAATTTGTCGTTGTTGTTATTTACTCTTTTCTGTAATCTTTACTTTCATTTTGCCGACTCTAACCTCTTCGTTATCTCCTTTTAAATTTAAACCTATATTCCCCCCCCTTTCCTTATTCCGGCTCCCAACAGCTATTTGTACCCTGAGGACTGTCAGTACTTGGAAATGGAACACTATTTTGTTCTGGGTATCAAAGGCAAATTGGGTACACAATAGCTGGATGCAGGGTAAATCACCTTCTACATTGCCCCAGGAATGTACATTTAAAGCCCTTATTGCCTTTATTTGTAAACAGATTGGCATCTTGTTCTGGGAAAAATGCTGATACCTTTTCCGTATGTGTACTTTTTGAAGTGGAAAGTTTGTTAGATTCCAAACTTTTTCCTTCACCTCTCAGTCAAACTCTTATCCTCTTGTGATGTTCTGAATTTCTACATCTCACTGAGAAAAGCCATGAAGAGCACAGCTGGTGCTGAACAATAGCATTCATCTGTTTGGAGATCATCACACTCTATCCTTGCCTTTTTGCTTTCAGTCTCTGCCAAGTAATTGCTAATTGAATCTAATCCTGGAATTGACTGGGCACGTTTCTGAATCAAGACAAGTGGGTTGAGAGTTATACAAAGTGTTGGACTTGTTGGATTTAATATCTGTTCCCTGACCCTGTCCAGAAATCTTACATTCTTATCATTCAAATCATTTTAAAATAATGAAATCGTGAAGAACGCTATCTGCCAGTTTCAAATCCTTGTACTAAATATTTATCTTTGAACTACCAATTGATTCATTTTATCTCGGCATAAAATATGCATAATGCTTCAGTTTGTGGAAATTATGATGCACCTGGGCGTGGATTCAAATCATTGGCTATATACAAACTTGTATAAGTTTTTCTCTTACCAACTATTACTAATTGACATCAATAATTGACACTGTTTCTGCTTTTTCTTCTGCATTTGGCACTTTCACATTCATTTTTACAAGTTCCCACACGGCGACCTATTCAAACCAAAACATTGGGTCGTGAGAAATATCATGTTGTCTTAATTATTGAAGTAATAGAACAGGTTGGCAGCAAAAAATGCAAGGTTGGCAGGCAATTCTCTCAATTGCATTTCATGCTGGAATAAACTTGTTTGTTTGGCAGAGGCAGTGAATTCATATTTATCAAGAGGAAAGATCTGCTGGTATTCATATAGCATTCACATGATTTTCAACCAGGAATTTAATCTTCAACAGGCATCACAGGCACATCTGAGCTTAATCCTCTCTGAGCTCATCATCCTTCCCACAAATTCCCATCAATCCACATTTATCCACAAATACACACACTGCACTCCTTCACAGTAAATCCTGGGACTATTTAATATTGCTTGGGGATATTGAAGTGGCTGTCTAAATATTTACATGGTGTGCAGCCAACAGCTACTGAGAGTTGCAATGGTATCCAGTTGATGAAAACATTTAATATATTGATAAGAAACACCTAAAAAATCTTTGGAGAAAGAAAATGGAAACATAAATCCAGAGATAATCATTTATTTATTTAAATGTAACATTTTAAACCATTAGTATTTTATATCAATGCTTAGTTCTGTTATTGTTATAGAGTGATTTGGGATAATAGATTTTGTCTGGTATCTGCTGTAATGTGAGGTTCTGAAGTGCCTTCAAAACTGCAATGTTTTCTAAACCTGGGGAAATGACAGAGGCGACCAGTGAGGTGGATGTGCAGTGATGAGTACTGGTGCAATCATATTTAGTCTTCTTGCCTTGTCAGTTCTATGTTTACATTCTTCTAATTAAAAGAGTGAAAAAGGTGGAGTTCAAAGGAAAAATAATAAATTAGCCATGAGAAAGAAGCCTGTTCTCATTTTCATTTTTTTAAATATATGCTTGTATTTAATCACAATGAAGCTTAAGGACAAAGTCCTAGTGTATTTAAATGTAAGGTTTCAGGCAACGCTGTAGGGTTGTGCTGTGAAAGCACTTGATGCTGGTAATCCATTTGGTCCTTGTGCGAAGATGTAATAAAAACACTTTGTTAGTGAAGGATAAGGTAGAGTATCTGATGTCTCTAGTTTGGAAAAATAATTATTTCAAATTGAACATCTGGTTAGAAATTAATCTTGTCACAAGGTTTAGGAAAAGAACAATATTAAATCCTCATTATAAACTCTGATACAAAGCCAGCGAGTTTCCATTGCTTTCCTTTCCCGTGGCTCACCCCCATTACTTCACCTGGTGCCAATTCCCTTTGGAGATCTTTTTGTGGACCCACATTAAAAGAACTGCTTTTCACATACATTTTTTTTTCCATTTGTCCTTTTTTTAAAATGCGGCCAAATTAAGAAAACCTTCAAAACAATTGCCACTTTAAAAAAACATCTGTTGTGCTTTGAATTTTGAAACTTTTCCATGCAGCATTTCAAGCCGAATGACTTCTTGATCATCTATTTTCAGTATAATATATCTAATATATGAACTATCGCCAACAATAGACTTGGCCACATTGCCACCATTTTGGTGCTGTTGCAGTCCTGGGCTCAGGTGCTGAAGGATGTTGTCTCACCCACATCCAACCTTTAGTTTGCAAAACTCCAAAACTTTATGTGCCAATGTAAAGGGTGGCACTGAGTGTCAGCTTTCCAGTTCAAGTGTGTACATTGCCTTTGTTTGTCTACATAACAGATTCAAACAGGCCAATGGCAATTCTGAATGGGCTGCTGTTACTGCTGTTGTATTGTTTCCAGGTGACTGGAATGATTAAACCTACACAACTTCACATTTATACCTGCAATAAAGGAGCCAGATGTAGAACAAAAAGACGAACAGCTTCTGGTGCTTTAGTTGGCAAAACTGATCGATTTATAGAGCTGGTAGTGATGCCAGTGTGATCCCTGGTAGGTGTTGAGTTAGCCAATCTCACAGTTTGGCGATACTGCAACTGGCTTTAGTTCTGGAATATGGAGTAAAGACAGTGAATGCCAATAACTTAAAATATCACAAGGTATCAAAACACATGGTTTAAGTATGAAATGGTATGGTATTGATTCATTGCAAACACCCCCCAACCAACCCCCTCACCCTCCATCCCTCTTGCTTCCAACCCCAGCTCGGGTGCACAAACTTCACTCTCCAGTGCCTTGGGACTTTCTCCCAATGTAAATTCAATTTGTTGTTTGTTGTAAATTCTGTTGGGAACTAGGCACAGTCCTGGAAGCGGCATGTAATAATTTTATCTTCTCTGTTGCAGGCAGCAGATGGGAAACTCTGTCCAGACACATTGGAGTGACCAGGTATAATAATAATATAATAATAATCCTTGCATTTGATATATGAGCCATTTGTGTGCAAACAAAATAACAGGGATGGAATTTTGTCAAGGTTTCATTTCTATGTTTATAAAATAATCTTTCAAATGGGCTTCAACAGTATTAACGCACTAAATCATTTATATATGTGTATATTTTTATCCTGGCCTATCTGTAGTTGTATTTCTCTTCAATAATTTTTTAAAGCATTTCCAATGTATTCATTAAAGGAATCCATGCCAGTATGTTGAGAAAATATTACCTTTAAATAACCTGTGGAAAATAGGAGTATTTTATATTTGACATAATACTGTAATTTTAATTTATAGAGTGACAGTCATGTTATGAACAGCAACACATTTGTTATGAACTAATCCACACTTACAACCATTACACAAAAAAAAGTACTATTCAAACCTAGTTCATACTAAAACATAATTCCTTTATCAGTAAATCCAGATGAAAATAAGCTTTGGTTTTGACATTGCCTTATTTACTAGTGCATTATAAATGAAGGTGCAATTGAGTTTAGGAAGAAGAACCAATACATGTGCCTGATGGTGATGATGATAATCTTGGCATTAAATCCAATTAATCCACTCTTGGGTAAAAGTAAAACGCTGACATTAATGCTTTTTTGTTGGACTGAAATGTACCTTAACAGAGCTTTTGAATTGTATTTTGAGGTGTGGTAACATTTGCAGTTCGTGGGCAGTAGCACATTGTATTTAATCAGACTGGATGTTTTTCCCTCCTCCATGAGGATGCTTGCGATCATTGTCATTGTAATTAGGACCAGCTGTAGAATATTTCACAATGAATCTGGTACTTCACCAATGATTCACCTGTTCTGAATGGTTAACCAGATTTGTGGTTACCTCTTTGGGCAGTGAATGTACTGGGATTATGTACGCGGTCTTAATTCACAGCCTGGCCAAGAAAAAATCTTTTTTGCTTTAAATCCAGAAGAGGTGCCATTATAACGTTAAAAAAAATAATGTTGAAACAGTTAAAAGTGGCTCCCAACTGCAGTGGGTACATCATTACCAGTGACCATTTCCTAAGCAGCACCACATAACTAGTTTGCCAGGTTTCTTGTTGACTCAACAGAAGGAGCGTTCCTTAAGCAAACTTCAACTGAAAAACCTAAAGCATTGGCAAATTCATATATCTGATGTAAATCTTGTCTTTTTCCAGTAAGTTGTTCACAATTAGACAGTTTGGAATGTTATATTTTGCGCCGTTTGTTTCTGCAGGTTAACTAGGAGCAATCATCTCGTATAAACACAGAGATTTGGTATTGGAAATATTGCAGTGGTTATTATTTCCCCATCAGAAACAAATGACCGATAGAGAGGTTACGCGATGCCCAGTATTTTTTCTCAGTCAGTGCCACACATTGCATTGCCATTACTCATAGCTGAATTATGGCTCATCTCCAGCTCACTAGTGTAAATTTTCCACATCCAGGTTCTCTAGCCTCTTTCAGCCAGCAATACATTGTTAAGCAGTAAATTGCCCCGAAATGTGTTCCTTAAAACACCGTCTAAACAACAGAACAGTGACAGAGAGATTTGACTAAACACTTTACAAAGGCTTTCTCTGAACTGCAGTATTTTTGCTCAAAGGTGTTGTTCACAATTTAACTTTAATCGCTGAATTCCTGTAAATGGCGCAATCCTTTTTTTTTTGTTCAACCTGGCAAGTTTACAAAGTTTTTTTGCAAAGGAATTTCGGGTTGAGAAATAAAGATAAAATATAGGGATGTGGTCAGACCTGTTTATTACCGTGTAACAAAGCAATATTTGGACAATTTGTTTTCCAGGAATAATATACAATTTAGACTTCACGTTAATTTGAACATGTCTGATCAATAATAATCAATCACCTTGTAAATGTAAATCATAGAATCATCATAGAATCTTACATAATAGAAGGAGGCCATTTGGCCTATCGTGCCTGTGCCAGCTCTTTGAAAGAGCTATCCAATTAGTGCCATTGCCATACTCTGACCCAATAACCCAGTTCCTTGGTAAAAGAAATAACCTTTTCTGGATTTTGGTGTATGCTGCCTAGTTCCAGAACCACAGCTGCCTGTTTCATTGAACGTATTGCAGCTGAGGTGTATAAATGGGGTATTGCGAGCGAATTGCTAGCCACTGTTTCCATTGCTAATTTATATGAATGTTTAGTCTTAATTTGTAAAGGCACACTAAATGTCATTTAAATTAATCTGTGTTTTTGCAATTTATCACAATGAATATAATGGGAAGCAAGTAAGAATAGGACAGAAATGGTTGCTTAAACTTCTTTAGTTGTTTGCTCAACTCATTTTCTCCCCCTTTTTCAGACTTGATCTGAATGATGTTCCAAACTGTATCCGAATCATTGCTCCGGATTTTGGAATATTTCTCATCAGTTGCATTACATTAGGGTTCTGCAATCGCTTGACAAAGAAAAATAAATCAATATCAGACAAAGGGGAGGAGAGCATTGAATCCGATGAACAGGTGAGTTCCATTATATTGAAAGTCAAGTGAAATCCTCCAGAAAGCAGGATGCATTGTACCTTATTTCTGGGAGAGAATATTAAGGAAATCAACCTTTGGGTGAGCTTTTTCACAGTTCTTTCTAGTGATTATTAAATCATAGATTTGTTTTGGTCTCATTGAAAAAATTGAAGTGCAATTTTGATTAATTTCACCCACAAAATATACAGTCAATTAACTTTACATTAAATGGTCCGAAATTGAATATTATTGCAATTGGTGAGATGTAGCTTTGATACAAACCGAATGCATTTTAGTGGCCGAAATGTGTGCTAAAAGTTCTCATTCAAGTCTGTGAAATACATTTGCCGGTTTCCTGATTTTAATCAGTAAAAATCAATATTTGTTGGGTTTTCCAATTTTCCCCAAATTGAGGAAATTACTTCCCATCATTAAGCATTTTTTTTACTTTATCATTTTCCACTGTAAAAATTGGCTGATATTGAGTCAAAAGATGGCTTCCTGGGCACTGGCCAAGCAGTTCAAGTGCAGACAATACAGTCACTTTCTGTACATCCTTCAAAAATGGAAAAAATATAAAATCGAAATCCGACAACCCTATCTATAACTTCCTGATTAAGGAGAGAGTTGTCCTTAAAAGTTTTTAACTCCCTTTTGGTGGATGTTTCTTTATTTGGCTGCTTCTCCAGCTGATCTCTCTTGAGAAACACATGTTAGTAAGTGAGGTTCTTCATTGCTCATGTGCTTATGAATCACAACCTTCCATTTATTAATGCTGGCTAAAACAATGAGGATTTTGTAATCGGACTGGATGAAATGCCCATATATATTCTGTGGTTAGGACATCTTTAGTGTGATAAATAAATGATGTTCACAAAGGAATGTTAATCCACGCTGTACTGATGTTAGTAAACAGCTTCTTTAAAAGCTTTTGTTACCAGTACCTCTCTTTTAAAGTGACTAATGTATTCGGAGCAAAGCTGTTCCATTGATGTCTCAGTCATCCTGTGCTAAGACATTGCTATAAGAATGTGCATTGAACATGATCTGTGCATTTTGTAAGGGTGGAAAATCTGTAAAGCACCCATCTCTGTCGCTTCAACTGTCCACTCAGTGTTCTACTAAGTTGGAGGATATTGGAGTTTAGGCAATACTATTGGGATCTGGTTATGAGTCATAAACAGAATGGGCTTCTGTGCAAATATTATTATTTCATACAGCATACACACTGGAAAATCATTTAGCGTACAATCCAGTTTGGCCAAGAAAAACAGCTAAAACGCAGTGCAGTTGTTGGTGAAATATCCCCCACAGACCAGGAGGTTGCAAGAAGGGGGCTTCCAGTTACAGGCCACATGATGTCCATCCAATGATCTCATGATCTGAATTTTCTCACAGGCTTTATTTTGTTAATGGAAATCACAAATGAATAGATTTCAAATTATTTCAGCGTGGACATTATTTCTAAAACAACAAAGTTGTGAAAGTAAAATTGCAGGGAAACGACAGGCATTCTTATAGCAACGACGTTCACAAAATCTTTCAGTTGCTGATACTTTCTCATAAGATCTTGGAAATTATTGACTGATTCACAGTTTCCAGAATGGGCCAATGGCCTGCTTTTGAGCTGTTAGCTTCTATAAATCTATCTTTGAATCTATATCACTTAATGTTCGTTTTTAATCGAACAAAGGGAAGGTCTGGAATCTTGGCATTGGGAGGTTTATTAGAAGTGGTGGTCTGTAAAGACCGCTGAAACTGACAAAGTGTTCGCCATTGTGGACTCAACCATTACTTCCCAACGTGCTCTCAGATCTCAGACACCGTGTAACACGATACAAGAGTCTTCTCTGCTTTCCTGTTTTCAGCACAAAACCGGGTGGACATCTCAGATAATAATAAAAATAATAATCCTTGCATTTGATATAGAGTTTTATCACGTCTTAGAGACATCTCAAAGCACTTCAGAGAATATATATGCGAAGTGACTTGACTATATTTTCCGGGGAAAATGGATGTCCAGAAATCAGAGCCTCACTCACAGTGTATGAAAGTGTTGTTCAACAGGTTACGTTGCCACATTCATTGTGCCGGCTTAAATATCTGACTCTGCCATCTCAGTTATTCGATGCATTGTGCATTAAATATCTGGCTGAGCAGCTTGTCTATTGGTAACGTGCAGTGAATTCAGGGAATCTATGTTTAATCCATCCATGGGGATATCCAACCAAATCTGAAATACTACACCGGGGCTCAACAGAAATTTAAATTGACTCTGATACAGTCTTAGGTGATTAGGAGTTAAGAAACCAGCTAAATGTGAATGAGAGCAGTAAGTAGGAGCCTGGTTGTTAGTCGATTGGTGGATCGCTTTCCGGGGGTAATAATCCCTTCAGAATCAAAAAATATTTGGTCACTCAATCCACGACTGTTTGTGGGACACTCCTATGCACAATCGGCTACCGTGTTTCACCCACACAATATACAGTCAATTCACTTTACGGTATATTCTGTGAAGTATTTTGAGACGTCTCAACAGTGTGATAAGATGCTGTATCAAATGCAAGGATTATTATTATTATTATAACAGATATCATCTTTTTTTTACAAGACTTTAGTCCAAACACTGCCCTCTGTGGGTAAGTAGCCCTTTTGGGATTTTGCCATTCTTACAATTTGATTCCAGTTAAAATGACACAAGAAAGACATTGACCATCCATCGTATGTGCCAAGTAATGTTCAGTAATGCTGCTCAGTTACACTAAGAGATAATTTAGCTGTAGAATAAACAAAAAGAGATGATGTGTTTTTAATTTGCTGCTGAGTGCTTTTTAGCAGCACAAAAGTCTGCAAATGATCAACAATGTTATTCCGACCCTAACGTTAGTATCCTTTGAACTTTCAAACAGCTGGACTCCTTATTAGCAGAACAAAAAGTGCCAGGCAGAAATCCTAGACTTTACAATGGAAAACTCAGAGTGACATTGTTTGATGAAATTCACATTCTTGGAATTTTCCTGAGGCATGATCAGATTATTAATATTTTTTATTAAATTGTTGCATCGGCGAGATATAATAGTAAAGAATGATCCCTACATTTAATTCAATGCTTGTAAGGTTGGAATGATTCCAAAGTGCTTGACGAAACAGTGTTGATTCCAGTGGTTGCGTAGTGGTAGGCAAATTGATAGGCAAATACAGCAAGCAGTCCCTTTGCATGCTACGGGGCCCTAAAAACAATGAGCAGCGACCTGAAGATTTGTTATCCAAGAAAAACATCAGAAAAAACTCCCTTTACTTCCTCTTTTCTCTTTTTGAATAACGTTGAGGGTTTCTTCCTCTCCCACCAGAGCAGGCAGGTGGGACCTCAGTTTAATGTTTCGTTTTTTGCAAATATTAGTTTATTCCAACAGATTAAAAATATACAGGGTTAAGTTTATTTGCCAAATAATTTTTCTGCCTCCCATTTGAACCTTTGTTACGATTTTAAGCAGTTTAATTTTCCCCTCATCCTTTATTATAATAATCCTTGCATTTTATATAGTGCCTTACCATGTCATTGAGACATCTCAAATTGCTTCACAGAATATATTGTAAAGTGGACTGACTGTGTATTTTGTGGGCTAAGTTTATAAATAAATATAAATTTATTATAAATTTATGTTGCTGAATATTTAATTGATACGTACACACTGGATGCTGCTGAACTGATAATCTGTAGACTTTCAAGAATTTGTGAGGCAAGGACTGGACTGCGGTTTTAACCCGCTGTTTGTTGGCAGGATGAAGAGGAAGGCACCGAGGTTGACGAGGCAACTGAAGATGAGGAAGATGCAACTGAAGACGAGGAAGAGGCGACTGAACAGGAGAGGCGCAGGCAATCTCGCACGGCCACATTGGCTCAGCTGCGGGTCGTTGCACAGAAGTTTCTCGAAACAATGGGAAAAGTTGTGGCGGTTATATTTTTGGCTTTAGCTGGTAAGAATTTCGAGATGACATTTCTGCACAAGTTGTTTGAATTTGGATCTTGTTCAGATAGAAATTGTGCTGTTAGGATACTGCCAAGGTTCTCGCCTCAGATAGGTTTATACAGGGTGAATCAAAAGTCCTTACTTGTAGGCCTATAAGATGTTTAAGCTGCCTGCTTTGTACATGTTTACACATATCAACTTGGTGACAAAAGACTTTCACGAACGCAATGAAAGACATCTTCTGTAATAGCTGCACACTCTTTACGAATGTCGTCTTTAAAAGGGGAAATTCAAGGCCTCTTAGTTTTATAGTCTTGTGGAGATGATGAAGGAAGGGTGAAGCGGGTTTGCTTGGTATTGTGTGGGAACAGGGACAAGAGTTGGGAGGAAATGTTGAAGGTGATTTTAAGCGTTTCACGAAATATACTGTAAAGTGAATGGACTGTATATTCTGTGGGCGAAACGCGGCAGCCAGTTGCGCCCAGCAGTGTCCCACAAACAGTCGTGGATTGAATTGTCCAATTTATTAGTGAGCGTGTTGTATTTAATGTCGATCCGGTGTCACTTTTTTTTTCAGGAATTGCCGTTCCTTGTGGCTTCTCTGGTGTTTATTTCCTGCTTTTCATTGGAATATGCACATGGTGGGCGTGCCATTTGCCAATGAGTCACGTTGGCTTCAATACGATCTGTGTCATGGTGGGGTTTTACACTGCCGGCCACATCATCTGTCTCTACATTTACCAGACTGCTTTTTTTCAGCAGATGTTCCCTCCCAGTGGCCTCTGGTCCAGGTAGGAGCAATAGATTCTGTGACATATTTACCTATATGTTGGCTGCATGTGCAGTTTGAACAAAATCGGGACATTTTCCGGTTTATGTTGCAATTGGAAGTCACACAGTTGGTTGAGAGATCGGAGATCGTAACAAAGCAATGGGTATTGATGACAATCTGCTAACATGACTGAGCACAGAGGACACCAGATGAGTCTAGAGGTTTCATTGCCTAGTCACATTTCAATATGCACTCAGTCACGGAATTTTAGAGCACAGAACGAGGCCTTTTGGCCCATGGTGCCTGATGCCGGCTCTACTGAAAACCATCGATTTCATCCCACTCTTAAACCCTTTCCTCAAACCCTTTCATGATTTTTCTTTTTCAAATACTTATCTAATTTTTCTTTAAGAGTTATTATGGTCTCTGTTTCAAACTGTTTTCGGTTTAGCATTCCACATCCTATCAGCCCTGTCACAGGAAACTGTGATACTCAGACACTACGGCAATGCTATAAATATACTTTTATTCCAACCACTCCCTTTGTTCTCTTGGTGATGGATTTGAAAGCTGTGTTTTCTAGTTAGTGGCTCACTGACCAGTGAATATAGTTTCTCCCTATTTATCTTATTAAACCCGCTCAGTGTTTTGAGCACCTAATTTGCTTCTTACTCTATTCACAATCAATATTGCAGAGTTATAGCTCAACTCCATGCAGCTGGAAGAGTGACCAGGTTCCTTATCCAAGCTCCAACACTACAGCACAGCTTTACTTGGTTAGTGGCTGAGCATGAGCCTGGCAACAGAAGTGAGAAGTCAGCTCTTCCTTTCTCTAATTTTGTGCACTATATAAATTGCCTGAGCATTGCTTATATATTTATTCATCTGTTTCCTGTTGCAGTTTGCAAACACAATACTGTATTTTCCCCCACGGAAATAACGTAATAGATTTTGTTTTTGAGTCACCTTGACAGGCTGTACAAAGTTTTAATGATGAATGAACTATTAACTGCTATGTCGTATTTTCTAGCACCTCTGTTATGTATATATCTTTCTCAGACACTTGCTGTCATTCATGGGCAGAGATTTAAACTTTGGCATCCCTTGAAAATCAGGACTATAGTCTAAGTCAGCTTTTGCTCAGGGCGACATTTATAAAGACAGCAGCTCCTGAAAGATTAATGCAGTAAAAGTAGTGCTAATAAATAAATAATCCTTTCATTTCTTATAGCGCCTTAGAGAGCATTGAACCATTTAAGAATGCCTTGCAACTAATCACTGTCAAGTGCAGTGACTGTTTTTTTATAGACATTGACAACAGCTATTTGCACCAGGTAGCTCCCACAAACAGCCTTGAGATGAATGAACAATTAACCTGGAAGACTCTTGACCAGGACATCAGTAAAAATTATCTTCTTTTTTCAAATAGCCTCGACAGATCCTTTAAAGTCACCTGAACAGACAGAGAGGATCTTGGTCTTATCTGAACGACTGTATTTCTGACAGTGCAGCACTCCCCCAGTACTGCACTAAAGTCAGTCTGGACTGTGACTCTGGGCTTGAAGCCATAACTGTCTGAACCAGCGGCAGGAGTGCTAACAACTGAACCGATCTGATTCTCATTTATAAAGGGAGCATTTTCAGGGTTTCACACTCTTTTGTTGACAAAAAAATGTCTTTTGTATGTTTACTTGTTTAAAAAGTGGTTTTTTCTTTTATAGTTTGGTTAGATACAGGCAGCAAAGATAGTTGCATTAGTTTACTGTGAATTTAAACACCTCATAGCTGATACATTTTAGTTTTGAGCCATCACACATCACCAACACGCTAATGAAGTCTTTAACTGTAATCTCTGTGTATCAGGCACTGAAGAGCAAGGTATAGGCTGACAGCAGCTGTTTTAATAACTTGCTCTATCACAGGGAACTGTGACTCTAGGATACTAATGCAATGCTATAAATACTATGCTCAGCACAGCAGAATTCAACAACTCAGCATTAACGACTTGTAAGTGCAGTTGACTCAGGAGTTTCTTTGCTCTGTTAACTCTGCCGTGACTGAAAGAAACTAATGCTAAACGACAATTAGTGCGGTCCTAAATATTACTAAATGGGCAGTGAAACAGTGTGGGAGAATTTGCTTTTGTAACACTTTCTGCTGAAGTTGCAACTTTCTCTGAAAGGCAAGCATGTTTACAATAAGCAAATTAGTTGATGATAATGAAAATAATAATAATCATCATCATGTTTACATTTGATATGGTGCCTTATCAAGTCGTTGAGGCGTTTCAAAGTGCTTCACAAAATATACTGTATAGTGTTTGTTTTGTGGGTGAAATGCAACAGCCAATTGTGCAGGGCGGATAATAATACTACTTAATAATAATGTTATTTAACTCTTTCCTCATAAGCAGTTAATCCGCTCCCAAGCCTCGGTCGATGTTTCTGTGTAATTGGTCAATAAGAGGTCTGTGCTAATGCCCCAGAAGTACTTGACTTAGAAACACCCTTTTGTGTGAGCTAAGGGACAACACTTTTAACAAGGCTTTCACTTTCACTTTATACATAATGCACCTGTCACTGCATTGAGCAATGGGTCATGATGAGTATATTTTTGAAGCTCCAATTAAAAGTGATTGGGTGAAGCTAAAACTGAAGATGGTTTGGTTCTACCCTAAATGTAAAATCATGGGTGACCAGCCAACACAGGAGGTAAATGTACACCACATAGAAAAACAACCAGCGTGATTTCCCCTTTTTGGGACTAACAGTTTGGACCATTTTTCACCTGTGGCACAAAACTCCCCTTCACACAGCTCATTTGAGGTTAATCTGATTTGAGAGCTGAAATAGTAGAAAATGCATGGGAGTCGGATATTAATGATTAGATTACTCTCATGATTTTTGCACTGAAACATTGTTTCCCATCTACAATCCATTTTCAAGCCAGTTGGCTCTATGTATGTAAGTTTCTGATATCAGTCGATCTGCCCGCACGAATGTTCCTCAAGTTTAAAATTAAGACGAAATGAGAACATTACCTGCTTTATAAGAAGCAGTAATGCCGCATAATTGGATGTCAAATCGTGCTTGGCTAAAATAATCCATGCCAGAATCCTCACTTTCTCGGGTCCCTGAGGCATTGTTTGCCTTCCATCGCCAGACCTGGTTTATCATCGTAATAAATCTGTAAAACATATTGCTATAACTGGAGGCTATGTATATCACTACCAGAGATTGTGTTGTTCAATGGTTCAGGAGCCGAAACTTCTCAACAGCCACTTGACCAAGTCAGCCATGTGGAAAGACGTCCCATGGACAGTCAGGATTTTTTGGACCTGAGCTGGGAGGTGGGGTCAGGAGGGGTGGAGTGCAGGGGGGGCTTTGATTTAGAGACCATCATTTTTATTACCATTAAAAACAAATGTCACATGTAAGCCTACACAACTGCTGTAATTTTTTCACGCCTGGAAACTGCCCTGTGACGTGCTATAAACCAGGATGATTCACATCAGCTGAGGTCGGAACTGACGATGCCTTTGTCCAGTTCTGCAATCAAAACTTGAGAGATCTTCAATCTGTCCAACAAAATTCTTCTTATGGAAGAATTTGCCTCTACTCAACGCACTTCTCAGGATAGCTGTTGTACAATACCTTAACAGATTTATTGCACTGATCAACCAGGTCTCCCCCTGAGTGAGGAAAGCTGAGCCTCTGCTTGTTACTGTTTGTTTTAATAATGTAACTGTTGGTTCAGAACATGGAGTTGGAGTGGTTATTTGGATGTATGTAACAGGATTGTATTTACCGTGTGCCTTTCAACTTGATGTTCCTGGTCTTTCATGTCACTCTGTAGCTTACATGATCGACAGGAGTGGCTGTTGCCATGAGATTGGGTTACTGTAGCATCAGATTCCTCCACCCCACCAACCCCCACCCACACCCACACCCACACACACAGCCCCCGAAACTGATGTGGAAATGTGTGCGTGTGTGTGTGTGTGTGTATATAGATAGCCAACTGGCTGCAAACAAATTTATTCAAAGCAACAACTTGTATTTATGTGGTGTCCTTCACGTGGGGCAGCATCTCGGAGCGCAGAAAACGCTGATAGTTTCTTATTGACTTATTACACAATGTGCTGAGTGAGTCAGAATGTTGAGCTCCCACTGGGACTTTGGCTATAGATGAAAGAAGCAAGCAGCTATTTTCTCCCATTCACTATCCTGTTTCAGGAGTTTGATGCCTTCAATATTTTACTACTGAAATACTGATCCTTCAATACTTTTGGTGTTAATGAATCCTCCAGATGTCTGAATTCTAGATCAGGCATCTGAATGAAGTGTGACTTTGCACCGTGCTTTGTCCACTGCCGTTTTGTAGTGCGCTCTTATTAATTATAAAACAACTCTTCCTTATCCGTTCAGTATTTTGTTCTATTTCTTTCTGAGTTCTGCTCTTGCTGTCTGGATCCAGCTGTCCTTCTGTTTGATTTGTGTTTATTACCAAACACTGTTTCTTTTGTCCAACTGGATGTGGCAATAGTCAGACTGATCCAGGTATGATTCTGTGCCTGTCAGCACATTCCTTTCTACTTCTTCATCCATGTGGCCTTCATATTATTATCATCATGTTTGAGCTTAGGAATGGAGCACCACATGTTCATTATAGCTAACCTGTGCTCAGTTGACATCCACACAGGCACATTTATTAGCAGTGATCGGGAGAGTGATCCGAAGCTGATTCTCTTTTCCCTTCAGAAATTCACAAAGTTCAGCCTCACATTGAATGCTGCTTTTAGCTAGGAATTATCAAGAAATTGATTTTTGTTGCTGAATTGCTGATGTTAAAGACCTGAGTTTGCAGTGTTTGGCACCTCTTCTGAAGCCTTATGCACCACAGTAAAATTAATTACTTTATGTGGATCACATTCCTAAATGACCAAGGTGTTCAGTCACGAAGATGCGTGATAATCTCTTGTACGATTCAATAATTCTCCTTTGTGGCTCCATCATAAAAGGAAACATTAGCCAATGGAGAACATTCACTGTTTTGACACCTGGAGAAATATCCCCATTACAGAATCAAAGAAATGTTATGTCAGGTAGATGATGATAAACAGTGAGTGACAATGCATCCAGACACCTTAAGTGAATCTGTTTAGCCTTGATGAATATGGTGGTGTCACAATGAATTTATACGAATTTCTGCAGCGTATCTTGTTTTCAATGTAGTAGTCAAACAAGCTGTGAATTTTGTGCTGCAGATGGCATAATCATAAGACCATAAGAAGTAGGAGCAGGAGTAGGCCTTTTAGTTAACAGGGTGCATTCAGAGACACAGTAATTAAAACAGACATCTGAGAATGTGACCTTTGCGATTACTGGGAGCTCAGAGAAATGTGGAGAAAATGTACTGGTTATCAAAAGGGCAATGCACAGATTTCCCATAGTCTAATGCAAGCTTCAACAATACTGGTTCAGCAAGTATGACTCAACCCTGTGTGAAGGTTGCTATATAAATGCGAGTTGTTTTTGTTGTTGATGTAGCTTGATGGATTCCACAATGGTTTCAAACCATCTTCACCCAGTCCACTGATCTGTTTAGTCTTTGGCTTCTCTCTTCCTGACCTGTCCATCAGAAGCGCTCTTTGTCCAAATGTGACTTGCTTTATCCACACTGGACGGTTGGAGATAGAAAAAATCTTCAATGCGGACATTTCCTGGTTAATGAACGACATTTCAAATGAATGGCTTTGGAGAAAATATGATTATCTAGCTTTCAAACATTTCATTTGCAGTTTTGAATAGTGCCATCTTGTGTCTCATTCTTAAAGCACCCATTTGTAGAAATCACTTCTCTCGAAACCAAGTACTGTCTCCTCCAGTTTCTGATTTATTTTTGCCCACTAGAGATTACAGGGTAGCAAAGATCTAAAGCAACTCAGAATTGGCATCTGAACCAGTTGTTTGATGTTACTGTCTTGTGTTTGTTATTGTTTCTACCATATACTTTGGGATGGCTTTAGTCCATGTTGTGGTAGCCAATGGTATGGCTGACACTGTCAAATGCATTCTGTGCAGTTTATGATGAGTTCCAGATTGCAGTGTATTCATTGCAAGTCTATTGAATTGAAAGGAAACCACTTTGGGAATGAATTATAATCTCTGTAAAGTGATTATTCTGCTTTTAGAGGATGCTGTAATTTATTGAACCTTTGTAGTTAAATGCCATACAAACACACAATTTCAGCCACAAAATACACCATCAATCCACTTTACAGTATATCCTATGAAGAGCTTTGAGAAGTCTCAACGACATGATAAAGTGCCAAACAGCAGTCTACACTTTACTCGTCCAGTAGCGCAGTGTGTTGCACCTCTGGCTTTGACTGATTTTTGATTTCTTCTGTTTTAAGGTTATTTGGTCTAAAGGACATCATCCATTCAAACTCCAGCAGTCCTCATCAACTTATTCTGAACGAGGCTCACGAGTGGCCCGTCTATGTGAATCCAGGGATATTGCTGCTGCTTTACTACACTCTGGCAACCCTGCTGAAGCTGAAGAAAGTGGAGAGTAGCATTACAGTAGGTGCAATCTAAGAAGCAGCACAAGTCAGAACTGCGAGCATATAAGCCCTCTGCTTACCACGTATGAGTTTTCTGTTTGTCACAGCCATAGTTTGGCAAACTGCAAATCTAGACCAGGTGGACTCAGCACCCAGGCTTCAATCCCCTCAATGCATAGCCTTGAAGTTGTCACACAATTCCTGTAACTGATGGCAGCTCTCAGGTCAGTGATGGAAAGAGATGGCACTCGCCACTAAAACAGGTAGTGTTACATGGGTTTACAGAGGGAGCTCCATCTCCAAAGCAACATTGTACGCTTGTCATCACATCACAGGCCTCTGGTCCAGCATTAGTGCAACCAATTGTAGATTTTGACGAAATCTATTCATTTTCTAACCAGTTTATAATTCTTATGTTATTATCTGAACCTCTGCACTGTTATATTTCTATAGACAGACAATGCACAGGAAAATGCTGAGGACCGAGTTGAGTTAACAAACACAGAGACTTGGTCAAAGAACCGTGGTGAAAGAGAAGATGAAACTAAGGTGAGTTGCACCACAGCAGAAATATACATCATATGCAAGGATTGTTATTATTAATTGTAATTGTGGATTTTAACACAAACGTTGAAAGCCCAAACCCTTTGAAGAAGAAAATAAAAATGATCCAAGTAAGAGCTGCTAGACTGTTGCAGTTCTATGCTCTGGGGAATGATAGGTTGAAACACTCCACACCTTTACCCCCCCCACCCCCCAGGCCAAATTCAGCGTTAATCTGCACTGTTTGTGGTATTTTCCAGCCAATGCTACCATTTGCCAACGAGAATCCTGAAGGGCAGAGCTTTAGAACGCATGTAATTCCTGGCTCCTCTCATCCAGATCCGGACGAAGTCGGTAAGTTCCGAGACGCCAAGACATTACCCCGTGGGAAGAGCACTATGTAAATGCAAGTTGTTGTTGCTGTGTTGCAGTTCCAAGCTTCCCTGTTTGGCTTGGCAGTACACTCTGGCATCCTTTGTCGCTCAGTTGCAATTGTTTTTAATACATGAAATAACTTTAATACAGAACAATGTAATGAACCTGGCGGCTACTTGTTTTCATTGCTTCTGTTGCAGTAAGTCACAACACGTCCGAAGCTAAGAGCCCGAAATCGCCTCTAAGTGAGATAGGCCGTGTGATCATGCAGCAGAGTTATATCTGTGTACTCATCATGATGATGGTAAGCAGTGGGTGGACTCTCATATCTTTTGATCTCTAACATTGCCAAGTTACCATGCCAAGCTGAGACAAAAATACAATGGACCCAAATCATTGATAGTCCAGATCGGAGTCCTTCCCTGTTCTTCAAAAGAGGCAGAACTAACGTGCAGACCTTTCCCTTTAGCTGTGACTTTGCACAAGTGTAAGAATTTGGGGTTAATTCAATGAGAAATGCACGGTTTTTCATTGTGCAAATCACTGTTAGTCAGGCCAGCTCCGTCATAATTCACCAGTTGCATTGTGTTGTTATTTCATAGGGGAAAAAAAAACTGTCATTTGAGTTTATTTGAACATTTCTGTGTTATTTACCCTCACTCTACCCTGTCCTTGCAGGTTTGGAGCATTACCTTCCACAGCTGGTTGACGTTTGTGCTGTTGCTGTGGGCCTGCCTCATCTGGATAGTGCGGAGTCGTCGCCATTTCGCCTTGCTCTGCTCTCCCTTTATCTTGCTGTACGGGATCGTGCTGTGTGGTCTGCAGTACGTCTGGGGGATGGACCTGTCTGAGGAATTGCCAACCAAACTCGGCTTTATGGACCTGAAGCAGCTGGGTTTAGTTCGAGCACCGTATCACTGTCTACGCTTGGGAGCAGTGGTGAGTTTAGAGCAGCAGAACTCAATCGGAATCTGATTAGTTATTGTTATCCTAGCCAACGTTACCTGGGATAAAATTGGTGCATCACTTCACTGCTGTTTATGAGGCATTGCTTTGTGCTGTTTGCATCCAAGTGTGCAGTCAGTCACTACACCTTACAGTAAATCCCATGAAGCGCTCTGTGATGATGTGAATACAATGGTGGTTGGACAGATTCTCCTCTTCACCAGCGCCCCCCCCCCCCCCCCACCCACCACCGTCCTGTTGAAGGGTTGCATAGGTCCAAGAGGATTGAAACCCACATCATACCTGTCCCAAGTCAGTTTGCTCAACCCTCTTGTAAACAAGGAAATGTCCCGTGATTAGAGTGCTCTGGCTTTCCGCTTAAAGGTGCTTTGTTTCACCAGCTGCTGTACACACTCACCTTTTGGCTTCTGATGCGTCAGTTTATTAAAGAAAAATGTATCCGACGGAAAGACATCCCACTGAAAGAAGTGAACATCCCTGAGCAAGGCAAGTGACGGACTCAAAGAGTGGGCCGAGCGAACTCTTGCATACCTGCCGCTTACTTCACTTGGGCTAAATATATCTTACCACACGGGCATAAGCTGCTGACTCGAATATTGTTATCAGCTGGTGTAAGCAATAGACTGTCAAAAGTTTTGAAAAAAATAAAGAGCACATTTAGTTTCGCCCACAAAATATAGTCAATTCACTTTACAGTATATTCTGTGAAGGGCTTTTAGACTTCTCAATGACCCAATATATGAAATGCGAGGATTGTTGTTGTTATTAGTGGGATTGAAAAGGTTTAGGTTCTGACTCCATACATCCACTCTCTCTTCACACACCCTGTCAGATACCACACAACATGAACAATCTTGACACTTCTAGCAGCAGAAATGAGCTACTGCGCTGCTAAGACTCAATTTCTGCAGAGTCCAGGCATATTTTATGCAACTCCAGAGCCCAACTAGACAGAGGCAGAGGCATTAGTCAGGCTGTTTCAATTGCTTGTAGACAGTTAATCTTCTGAGGTTGGGCTTCCAGTAAAGCACAGCTACAGAGAGAGGGAATCATTGATCTCTTAATGTCAAACCTCTCTTCGGCCCAGAAACCGACTCTGAACTGGGCTTTGGGTTAGAAGGGACTGCTTGTCAAAACCACTTGGCAGGATTGAGGAGACCACTGAGAACTCAGACAACATCTGGAGTAAGGCTCAGAGGATGTGAGACTGGATAGTGCAATGAATCCGACTGTGCCAAAACCAATTGACTTGCAGTTTGGTTAATTCCCAGTAGTAGCAGGTTGGAACCTTTACGCTTTTCAGTGGAACTTGCAACGAAGTGACTCATGTTGCTGACCTGCACTTTAAGCCGTTCTCAAAAGATTGAGGCCTCGATTTCCCCTCCCACGGAACTTGATTTATTTTTTGGGGAGTGAGAATTATTTTCAAAGAAAATTCAGATTTTAAAAGAAAAGGTATTTCTTGGTTTTACTTTTGCAGTTGGCAGCAATCTATTTGATGTGTTCTCGGGTTTTCTTTTCATTGAGGTGGGTGGGATGGGGAAAATCTCATGTTGGCCTCTTACTTTCCTGCAGATTCCCTAATTATCGTGTTCCTGAACGTTCATGTCTTGATTTCTCCTCTTCTCCCCCCTGTTATAGATCAGGGGAAGAGCGATCTGTTGAAAACTCTCGGGGAGATCGTAATTCAATTCTACTCCAAGTACTGGATTTACGTTTGTGGAGGAATGTTCATCGTGGTCAGCTTTGCTGGAAGAATCGTTGTGTATAAAATAGTTTACATGTTCCTTTTCCTCCTGTGCCTCTCTTTCTATCAGGTGAGCCCATCACAGTCAGGCTTTGGAAGCTCTGTGTAAAGGGATGGTTTGAAACTTGTTTAAAACATCTGCTCTCGGCAAGATGGAAATTGTGTTCTTATAACTTGCTCCACTGTGCAACTCTTGTAACTTGCTCGCTGCACTGATCAGAGAGGAGCACATGGTAATGCTGTGCGCACTTATGTACTTCCGAACCATAGCTCGGGCGATCTCCAGAGTGTGTCTGTAATATGAGCCCTGATGTACCTGCCGAATTCATGCCACTGTTCTAATGCTGTGTTCTTCGCCAGATATGTTATTTCTTATGGCGGAAGCTGCTGAAGTTGTTCTGGTGGCTGGTCATTGCCTACACCATGCTGGTCCTGATCTCAGTTTACACCTTCCAGTTTGCTGATTTCCCACACTACTGGAAGAACTTCACAGGACTGACAGACGAACAGTGCGTGCTTTCTATTACATGTTGTGTTGTTTGCAACTGTCTTGTATTGTGTGTGTCTAGGCTTTATGGTACTCATGTTAGAAAACAATCACCATTGTAAATACCAAGAGCTCTGCTCCTCTGGTCTGGGGGTAGTTTATTACGTGGGTTCATACCTATGGTCAGTTTAACAGCTATTTTTACAAAATAGGTTTTGGAATATTCACAATCAAAGCCCTGTTGGCTGGACTCTCTCTTTGTTGTTCCAAATAACAAGATCTTGAATTGGTCTTGAGGCTAAGTTCATAAGAAATTTGGGGCCTCAGAGTCCTCTTTGAATTACATTTTGTCAGTAGATTGGAATTAAAACTAATTTAAAGTTACCCAAATAACCCCAACTGCTGTTGGAGTCATTATAAATTTAGTTTTGCGTTCAGTGTAATGGTCTTGTGGTCCTGAATTAATCATTACAGTAAATTTCCGAAATACTTTTCCAATTTCCTGTTCTGCAACTTTCAATTGCTACAGTTTTTGCAGAATATAATTCTCATGCAGAAACTCGGTGCTCAAGTGTATCGTTCGTGTGCAGTTTCTTGCAGTTGGGGTCTATGTGTATTGCAAACATTGATGGCAATAAGTCCTAAAGCAAAGAAATTGGGATTTTTTTTAAAAGAAAGATTTTCACATTGTCGCTTCCTCTTAAATACCTCTAATGGAATTGAATGCTGCTCTTTTGCTAATGCAGGTTGGCCGACTTGGGTCTGGTGCAGTTTAGTGTTGGGGAGCTCTTCTACAGTATCCTGATCCCGGGCTTCTTCCTATTGGCCTGTATCCTGCAGTTGCACTACTTCCACCAGCACTTCATGGTGATCACTGATCTGGAGCATGTTCCTGCCAAGGGAACAGGGCCACTGTACAGGTAGGTCTTCATGTTTCCCAAACCCTTGTCTGTCCAATGACATCCAAGTGAACAGGCACCTCGATTTAACGTCTCATCCGAAGGACGGCACTTCCGACAATGTAGCCCACCGCACTGGAGGGTCAGTTTAGACTATGTAATTCCAAGTCCCGACTCAACAACAACAACAACAACAAGATTCCATTTATAAAGCGCCTTTCACGTCAGGAGGACGTCCCAAGACTCGTGAGGCTTGAACCAACAAGCTTTGGACTCGGAGGCAAGAGCGTTACCAATTGTGCAGGGCTGACACGTGTATAAATGGATAAAGGAACTGGGGACATGATTTTGAACAGACCTAAAATCATTTATCCTACGGGGAGACCATTCTTCAGAACCGAAACCATTTCTTAGTGACAGGAATTAGACAGCAATTGGCACCAGCTCTGTTGGCTGGGATAATGTGTGCACACAGAGTGGCTGTTGAGGCAGCAGGGATCGGATGTCTGGCAAGGGGCTGGGAAGAATGGAACATGGGGATTGTTTTTTTGGAACGTTCTCCCACAGATGTAGAATCAGTTGTTTTAATCCTTTAGGATTGCAGCGTGTCAGGGCTTGTGAGAGACAAAGTGGTTTGGATTGGCAGCATCTGGGTTGCTGACTGATGAGGAGACGTGGACTTGAGACTAAGTTCATAAGACATTTTATTTTAATATCGATGCAATTAAGAATCACAGTATTGATTTTACATCAGGGGCGCTGTGAAAGAAATTTGGGAAATGGATTTGAAATGCGAAGGCAGTGCTAAATGATCTCTCTTTCTTGCGCCTGTTTCCTTATCGCTCCTTTGCTCATTTTAAAGACATGTTTAAAGCTCACTCGTCCCATTGTCCAATTGCAGTAACTTCTTCCTTTCTACATACACAGGTTGAAAGAAAACTTGGCACAACGTTCGAAGCAGTAAGTGTTCCATCTTGGCGCTCTTCTCTCGATAGTTTTTGTGTGCGAGGGTGCAAATGTATATTTTTAAGTTATTTTCTCTCTCCATTTACCGGTCATTGCACAGTGACACTACTGAGGCTCCACAGGGCTAGAATACAGAAGGGTCTGAGCTATTAGTCTAACCTTAAAGTTCTGAGGTGGTCGAATGGTTTTCAGACTGTTGTAAACGTTGGCTAAAGTTGTTGTTGTTGGCACTTCTGATGGATTAATAAGAATCCCCTATCTCCTGTCGCCCACTTTAACAATGTTGTCCAACAAGAATTCTCAATTATCTTTAAGGGAATGTAAATGCACCTCATTGTTTGCGACCTACAAAATCACACTTTATCTCAAAGGCATTTCTCACTTTCTTCACAGCGAGTGCTAATGTAACCTTAACATAACCTGAACATTTTACAAGGTACCAGTAAAGCCCTGTTAGTAAAAGATAAATCCATATGCGCTACTAAGCTCTCAGATGCAGGTGACGGAGCATCTACCTAAATGAAACTAACTGTTCAATAAGAGAAAAGTCTGCGATGATCTGTGATCTCGCTGTGGTTTTGCAATGACAGAACTGCTCCGGCTGCACCAGCACAGCAGAACGGGGAGGTTGAAGACCTCGGATGTGAAGAAAATGAACGCACAGAATTGGAAGGAGGAGGTATGTTTATAACATGGGCAACACTTGCATCGAACAGTGTGACCTTTCTCCTTTAAAATCTCTTTCTTCTCCTCCTCTGAAGCCATTTGACATTTTTCCCTCCCTGCCCTTGCCCTCCGCCCCTCTCTGATCCCAACCCGCAGCTCGGATGCAAACCCTTCATTGTCCAGTGCCTTGGGACATCCTCCTGACGTGAAAGACGCGATGTAGATACAATTTATTGTTATTGTTTCCTTTTACTGTTCAGCTGTGTAGGGGAGAGAGAAAGAGAGAGAGAGGGCTTGTTGAGCTATCCCCTCACAACATGGTATATTGGGCAGTTTTTTTTCATGTGAAGACAGGAACTTTAAAACGTAACCAATTGATCAGGATACATGCAAAGGCCAAAAAAGCCCGTAATATCTTTAACCACATTGTGTTTCACTTCGATTGACTTCCGTCCATTCAAGTGAGTCAACGATGCATGTCAAATGGAGTTGGCTAGTTCTTTCCTTGTGCCTGGTATGATGCGGTTAGGCTATTTTCAGTAACAAGTAGATGCTGCAAATATTTATAATTATTGATTTATCCTGATCTTTTCACATCACAACACTAAAAACCTACAGAGAGCTATTCTTGTAGATGTTTAATATGGTGTTGCTTCTCTGTAAACTTGCCACTCCCTTTGCTAACTCAGTCACTCTTTCTATTGCAGCCGTTCGTAGTAAATGGGGGCTGGTATTTGATCGCCTCCTTGTACTTTTCCTCAAATCATCCGAAGTCCTCAGCCGCATTAAGGAATGTGTCTGGCAATTTCTGGAACTGCACATGGTGAAGCTGGTGGCACTGTTCTCTGTGTGGGTGGCAGTGAGAGAGGTACTTCCAAAACATTGACTTGTTATAACTTCTCTTATTTTACACTGCTGTGTATGAGCTGGAAGTAAAGTATTGTACCCGACTAAACTATAGAGCAGGGTATTGTCTGACCAGGGCTGTGGCCATGGAGAATCAGGTTAATTAATATGATTTGTTTCCGAACTTTTGTCGAAAGCACTAGAGCTTTGCCTCTGTGCTGTGCAGTTTGCTATTTGGTATTTACTATTCACTGATAAACATGAGTTTAATCTTATTTGATGCTATGAGTGTAACTGGTTCTACATTCTTATCTTTGCCAATGTTTCCCCAGCCATCCATCATGAACTTCCTCTTCATTGTGCTGTGGGCATTTGCAGTACCGTACATTAAGTTCCGTTCAATGGCATCCTGTATCTCTACCATGTGGGCGTGTATCATCATAGTCTGCAAAATGCTGTACCAGCTGAACATTGTCAATCCTGAGGAGTATTCCAACAATTGCACAATGGTATGAATATGCTTCTGTATCCTGGACAAAGGCCATCTTTCTGTCCCACCACCTATACCTAAGCAGCAGTGCTGCAGGAAGTGTCTTGTTGGCCCACATGTGTTGAATGTCAACACAAGAAATGGAGACATCAGACAGCTGTAATTGCGCACCGCTACATTCTCAAATGTGCTTTCAATGCCACGATCCAGAAGCAGGCTGACGGAAAATGTGATCAAGCAGATGCATTGCATTTGATAATAAACTGAGTCTTGTTGCTTTGTCTATTGAACGCAAAGCTTTTCCTGAATACTTTTGTGAATGCATCTCTGCGGAATTAATTGGCCGAGTAGCAGAAATCTGGAAAAACAGTTCAATGTATAACTGTTACAGATGCGGTAAGTTGTCGACTGATGTGATTAAATCATTTCTATCTGCAGAGTTTCCCAAATGAGACCAATTTAAAACCAGAGGAGATTGCACTTTCTACACTGTACAGAGAGCCTGTAGACCCAGCCAACTGGTTTGGATTCAAGAAGACATCTCCCCTTCTCCCATACATCAAAGTGAGTCAAAGATGTGTTCCACAATGGGTTAACTCTGCTACGTGGATATACAGTAATTGCTTTTATACTCTATGTGAATCACGTTACTACTGGCACCTGAATACAAAAATCTCTCTACCTTTTCTGTTCTTTTCACATAGCATAAAGTTAGCAGATATGAAGTTGTGTTGAGACACTGATTACACAATATTGGCACAATACGAATTGTATTATTCAAGATCCTCATCCTCACCTACAAGGCCATTCACGGCCTCGCTCCCTCCTACCTCTCCAACCTACTATCCCCCTACCTACCTGCCCGTACCCTCCGTTCCTCTGGCTCTGGTCTGCTCCACATCCCCCGCCCCAACCGCCCTACCATCGGTGGCCGGGTCTTCAGCCTCTCAGCCGCTAGGCTCTGGAACTCTATCCCCCAGTGCCTTCACCTTGCCTCCTCCCTTTCCTCCTTCAAGGCCGATCTCAGACCTTTCTCTTTGACCGTGCCTTCAGCTCCCCTCTCAACTCTCTACCCCCTCCTCGCTCCCTCCCTTCCCTCCCCTCACCCTGACCATTTCCCCCCTGCTCGGGTCCTGATCCAACTGTACAGCGCCTTGGGACGTCCTCCCGACGTGAAAGGCGCTCTGTAAATGGAATCTTGTTGTTGTTGTATTAATGTTCATCGGCCTCCCAACTCTTCCCTTCACAAGCTGGAGATCATCCTAAACTCTGCAGCTCATGTACTCTCGCGCACCAGGCTCTGTGACCCCATCACTCCCACCCTCGCCCGACTCCACTGGCTCCCCAATTCCCTCAGAGGATTGAATTCAAGATCCTCCTCCTCACTTTCCATCCATAGCCTCGCCCCCTCCTACCTCTCTGACCTGCTGACTCCCTACCAACCTGCCGGCTCCCTCCGTTCAGCGGGCTCCGGTCTATTCCATGTCTCCCACCCGACCCGCCCTACCATCGGTGGCCGGGCTTTCAGCCTCTCTGCCCCCACACTCTGGAACTCCATCCCACAGTCCCTTCGCCTCGCTTCCTCCCTTGCCTCCTTGAAGGCTGGTCTCAAGATCCTCCTCTTCGATCGTGCCTTCGGTCGCCCTCCCACCTCTCTGCCTTCCCTCACCCCTACTTCACCCCCCCCTCCCCCATGCTCGGGCCCTGATCCCTGACTGTCCAGCAATTTGGGACGTCCTCTCGACATGAAAGGCGCTTTATAAATGTAATTTTGTTGTTGTTGTTAAATTGATTCAGAAATAAACATTGAATAAGTTGCATCTATAGCAGAATTGTTTCTTCCTTTAAAGATTAGGCACTTGTAATTTAGCAATTCTCTAATGCATACATGTAAGAGTTGTAGTCCATTAGAGAGTTTAGGAGGAACTTTGTCATGCAGAGGGGTGGAGAGAATGTTGAGGTAAATAGCATTAATGTGTTTAAGAAAAAACCTGATGAGGGAGAAGGGAACAGAGGAGTATTGGTGAGGGGGACAGGAGGAGTGAGAGATCATGCGAGTACAAACACAGGCATGGACTAGCTGGACCAAATGGCCTCTTTCTGTGCAGTATTGGTCTTATGTAATGCTGCGTAATTATGTGAAAATCTGATTGTTTTAATCATTTGTGATTACCTACCATTCTAGCCAAGCTGGAGTAAATCATATGCACTATGTGTTCTTCCAGAATCACCTCGTGCTGTTAACGTTGCTGGTGTTCGAGGTTACGGTCTACCGACACCAGCAGCATTTCCGCAAACGCGACCAGCTTTCCTCGCCCCTCGTTCACCTCATCTTTCAAGACATCACTCGGCAGGACCTGGATAAAGGCCTCGTCAGCTGCGCAAAGTATTTCATCAATTTCTTCTTTCACAAGTTTGGTTTGGAGGTAAGTGGCGTCCCTCAGGCTGAAGTGGATAAAACCTAAAAAGGAGACGTAATCAGTTTTGACTCAACAGGTGTCAAAAAAAGTCAATCTGTAACTTCACATAGTACATGTAAACAAGTAGACATCTTGATCATTATCACAGTGCAAAGGGTTAGTTTTCTTTGTCTATTGAATTAGTTGAGAGTTACCAGAGATTAAGTAAACAATCAAGCTCTTTTTGGATGATTGTAGACACAGTATTAGTAAGTTTGTGCCTATAACGAACAACTGTAAAGGTTCTGCCCCAAACCTTTTAAACACAGGTATAACCAGGAGAGCTAGTCAAGGTCATCAGCAGTGTTTTGGAGTCCTGTGGACCAGTCTGGCTCAGAAACCTGATTTACCGAGACAACCACAGAGGATAATAATAATCTTGCATTTGATACATCGCCTTATCATGTCGTTGAGACGTCTCAAAGCACTTCACAGAATATACTGTAAAGTGAATTGACTGTGTTTTTGTTGGTGGAACGGATCAACTTGATTCTGGTATTTCATTACTGGATATGTCTCCTTGGAGTCAACTCAGCCTCAAGGAGATTTATTCCCCCCCCCACCCTTCCCAGAGGATAGTGGAGGCTATTTTGGGAGGTCTGGGGTGAAAGTTGCAATGATAAAGAGGTTGTATTTGTTTGAGCTGTGCAGGTAAATCCTCTCCTTCCTATCTGGACCTGCTGTTTCAAACCTGATCTCTTGCTGCCCACATCTCTACCTCTCGTTGTCATTTGATTTACCCTCTTGTACGTTCCTCCCCTTTGTGTCTCCCTTCCAGATCTGCCTCCTGATGATTGTAAATGTGATTGGTCAGCGGATGAATTTCCTCATGTTATTCCACAGCTGTTGGCTGGTTGCTATTCTGACCAGGCGCAAGAGAGCCATGATCGCTAAGCTGTGGCCCAAGTACTGTCTCTTCCAATCCCTTTTCCTAATGTATCAGTACCTGTTGTGTGTGGGGATGCCACCCGCGCTCTGTCTAGGTAAACAACACTTTTGTATGATTCCCTTTCAGCGGATGCCGTCTTAAAATCGATTGTAGTTAATTTTTTTAAAAATCCATAATTTTTTAATGGTTTCCATTGAAAATAGGTTTGCAACCTATTCAAGCTAATCCGTGACATGCGTGTTTATTAATTCAATGAATGCCAGATTAGTTGGACGTCATAAGGATTGTTTCAGTACAAATTTGCGGAATGTAGTTTACTTAATTATTCATAATCTGGTACAGAATGTACCAGATTCTACAGAAGAATTAGGGGAGATCTTATTGAAACATATAAGATTCTTAAAGGGCTGATAAAGTAGACACTGAGGGTCTGTTTCCCCTGGTAGGAGAATCTATAACCAGGGGTCACAGTGTTAAAATTAAGGGTCAGCCTTTTAGAACAGAGTTGAGGAAACATTTCTTCACTCAGAGGGTAGTGAATTTATGGAATTCACTACCCCAGAAGGCTGTAGATGCTCAGCCCTTGAACATCTTCAAGGCTGAGACTGATAGGTTTTTAAAAAATAGAGGGATTAGGGGATATGGGGATAGAGCAGGTAATTAGAGTTAGGACTGAAGATCACTCATGATCTTATCGAATGGCGGGGCAGGCTTGAGGGGCTGAATGGCCTACTCCTGCTCCTAATTCTTATCTTATGTTCTTTTCACTTCCTGAAATGTAAATGCATACATTGGTAACTGGTAAAAAATCAATATTATCAAGCAGACGATAAACATGGGACGTGATATTTTACTGTAACCTGGAGTCTCTCTCCTGAGGCTGCGAGTGTTTGAAAATTTCCCAGAACTGAAAGCTACGTGTTGGACCTAATTATTGCTTCCCTCAGGGAATTTACCGCCTAAAGTACCTAAAAAGATCATTTTCGAAGCCTGTAGAGAAAGGAAAACCACTTCTGCCTCTTCAGTTTGGTTGAAGCGGCTGCAGTGCAGTTGGCATTGTTGTTGTTGAGATCATTTCCATGTACTTGCCAGGCTGTGTCTTTAGTAAATTAGCCACTGGCACACAAACTGTGGAAAGTTTTACTTGCATAGTTTGCTCAAGTCATCGCCAGAACCTGTAAGTGTTGCAAACATTTTTTAAAAATATATAATAAATAGCATTACAACTGTTATGTTTTTTTTCTCTCTCAACCCTGCAGATTACCCCTGGAGGTGGGCAGCTCCCATCACCATTAACTCCAACCTGATTAAATGGTTGTTCCTGCCAGACTTTGTCACTTTGCCCAATGCCACACATCTCATGTGTAAGTATGTGTCTGTGTTCAGCGCCTTGGAACGTCCTCCCGACGTGAAAGGCACTTTACAAATGTAATTTTGTTGTTGTTGTGTTGAATTTCAGAAGGTGCGAACACAGGAACCTGCACTCTCGTTTCCTACCATTCCCAATAATGATCAAAATGAAATAATATTAATAAAAAATAATAACGCTAATCCTTCCAATTGATACAGCACCTTATCGCGTTGTCGAGATGTCTCCCGTGTGATTCACAGCATGTACTGTAATGTTTAGAGGTCGTCCATTTGTATGCGTATCACAAATAGGCAGTCACTACACTTCAGAGAAAAATCTTTGATGCGCTGTGAGACATTTCAATGTATTAAGGCCATATATCAAATACAGGGATTATTATTACTTGTTGATATGAATGATTCAGTCCTAATTATGAAGACAAGGGCTCCCCCTGGCGGCATGCTGAAAAGTAAAGTACATGTCAGTTGCTGACTGGTTAGAGCACATAATAATATAATAATAATCCTTGCATTTGATACAGCGCCTTATCACGTTTTCGAGACGACTCCAAGCGCTTCACAGAATATACTGCAAAGCGAATTGACTGTATATTTTGTGGGCGAAACGCGGCAGCCAATTGGGCACGGCAGCGTCCCACAAAACAGTGAACGATTAACCACGTAATTGATCTCTCACCGGTTGACACTTGAAGATGATCATTCGCTTACTTACTTCCCCCTAACCCCTGGAGTTTCTGCAGTAACGTGATTCCTATTGTGAATAACGATGTGTGTGTTCACTATCTCTCTAACGCACATCGTCCGTTGCTTTTGAATTGTGGGGATATATCTAGAAGCAAGTCTCGGTCTGTCGGTATTGAGAATGTTCTGGTTCTTGTCCATTGCAGATGATTTTCTGTTGCTGGTTTGTGCGTCCCAGCAATGGCAGGTGTTCAGAAATGAAAAAAAGGAGGAGATGATCATAGCAGCCGGAGAAAATACAGACGATTCAGATCCCATGGTTGGGAGAGAGCAAAATCCGGTGCCAAACTTTATAAACTGTCGGTAAGTTTAATCGAGACTAAAGGGGGCACACTTCTGCACGTGTATGTCCCGTGATGGCCACACTGCCAAGGAATGTAAGACAGACATTGCCTTAGCCATGTTCCCAAGTAGTGAATTAACGTGAATGCAAATTATAATTTCATGTGTATTTTTAGCTTGGGGTGAACTTTCTCNTTTTTTGTAAAAAAAAATCTGCAAAGGAAACAGTTAATAGATGCTATAAACATTTATTATTTGTTTTTATGAGACCTTGTTAGTGTGTAATCTCGATCCTTTGTTGTTCTGCAGGAGTTACTTGGACATGTTGAAAGTCGTTGTCTTCCGCTACATATTTTGGCTGGTGTTGGCCGTGGTGTTCGCCACAGGCTCCACTCGAATAAGTGTGTTCGGTGGTGGCTATCTGCTCGCCTCTTTCTACTTGCTTCTGTTTGGCAGAAAACTTCTGATGAAACCAGCCGGAAATTACCTGAACCTGTGGGACTGCCTGATTATGTACAATGTCATGGTCATCATTTCAAAGAATATGCTCTCAGTGAGTCAAGAATGTACTCTGAATAAAAGTTGCCGATTGCTAATCATAGTATCACAGAATTATACAGCACAGAAGGAGGCCAGTCGGCCCATCGTGTCTGTGCCAGCTCTTTGAAAAGAGCTATCCAAATTAATCCCACTCCCCCGCTCTCTCTCCATAGCCCTGCAAACTTGTCCTCCCCAAATAATTATCTAAAATGGCCCAACATGCGGACATCAGTGGAAAACTGCGAATTTATGAGTGAGGAAAGCCTCACTCGTGTGTGTGTGTGTGTGTGTGTTGTGTACACAGCATTCTGTGTGGATTCCGGGATATAAAGGTCATTCAAGCATCACATCCCATCAGTTTTTGGAAACCACCCAAAATTGTGCTCATAATGTATGTTATATATTTTACATCATGTGGTTTTGTGTCTATCTCTAGCTCCTGGCCTGTGTTTTCTTGAAGCAGCTTCAGAGTAACTTCTGCTGGCTAATTCAGTTATTCAGCTTGCACTGTACCATCAAAGGTTATTATAATGGTGAGGCCTTCAGTTCCTTTCACAGCTTTAGTTTGTTTGTGGTGCTAAGATCGTAATGCATTGCAAATACTATTTTGCTAGTGTTGAATTTGCTTTGGTCCCAATGGATTCTGTGATTCATTTGTTCTTCCTCCTTAGCTCATACATTTAACTGTTTCACAGTTGCTTGAATGCTGTTTATCCACCTCGTATTTATCCCTCCTGACAGCTTAGATCCATATCTTGTGAAATGCTTTGAGACATCCTATGGATGTGAAGGATATTATTATCAAGTGCAAGATTATCAATAATCATCCATACATTTGATATAATGCCTTATCAGGTCTTCCAGACATCTCAAAGCTCTTCACAGAATCTCCCGACGTGAAAAGCGCTATATCAAATGCAAGGATTATTATTATTATATACTCTAAGGTGAATTGATTATATATTTTGTAGGCAAAACGTATCACTGATAAGTTATTATTAAATAAATGAATATTATTATTAATAATAATCCTTGCATTATATTATTATAAATATACCATTGTATTGAATATATTGTTAAAACCCAATCCAATACAATTTCCCTTTGTGTACAGTGATCTTTGATTCTAATTCTATTGTCATGAATTCTCTCTTAGAGCAAGAATTGCAGCATAAGGATTGTTCGTTGGCCATTGGCGAGGCTGGCATCATCTGGGACAGCATCTGCTTCTTCTTTCTTTTGCTTCAGCGAAGAATCTTCCTCAGCTACTACTTCATACATGTGGCAGCAGATCTGAGAGCATCCACCCTGCAGGCTTCCAGGTACAGTACGATTGGTTCCACCATCGGTGGCCGTGCTTTCAGCCACTGTGACCCCCCCCCCCACCCAAACCCTGGATCACTCTTCCTCTATCCTTCCGCCTTCCCTCCTCCTTCCCCATTTTCAGGTCGGGCCTGAAGATCTTTCTCTTCGACTGTGCCTACGGCCACCCCCTGGCTCAGCTTCGTCTCCGCCACTGTCAAGCGTTCTGATGCTACCCTACACGAAGAGCGCTATATAAATGCAAAGTTGTTGTTGTTACAGTACGATTCCACACCGTGAACAGCTGCTGAACCTGGGAGGCAGGGTGAAAGTCCTTCTATTTCTGCTCTGGAATTTTTAGAAAGATTGAGAAACATCATTTGGTGCAGTCAGTCAAAGAGATCCAATAAATTGCTTCGTTTTTAGCATTTTTGGGTGTTAATGAAATTTGGTGACCTCTACTGTGTTTATTTGGGGACATGTAGTCTCTTTGTTACCTAGCTTTGATTCTTAGCCCTTTGTAGCAGTACTCTAAATATCTCTGTGTAGGAGTTGAAGCTGCTTCCTGAGATTTCACTGCAGATTCGGGAATGTTTGCAAGTGCTTTGGCAATTGTTCTCGTACGACAGCATAGACATTCCAGCAAAACAACTGGGATGATTCTTTCTGTCAGTAAGTACAAGTACCCGTGTGTTTTTTGACTACAGAGGCTTCCAGCTGTTCAAGGCTAGGATCATCAAAAATATGAATTACCGTCGGGAGGCTGAAAAGTCGTCACTGGCACAACTGAAGAGACAGTGAGTCATTCACATAACTTGTATCTGTGGAATCATTAGGAACATTTTAAGTTTGTCGTCTATTTTGATTCATTACTCGCTGGTTAATTAATCACTAGATTGCTTTAATCTTGGCTGCCATAATGGACTGTTACAGCATGATTTTTCTCTAGAGGTTGTGTGTGTGTGTAATGCTATACCTGTGAAGAGCATCTAGCACAAAATCTGAGAGCCCCAAAGACGGACTAGTTTACATTTCAGCCCAAATTTTAAAATAGAATGTAAATCCTTCTATTTCGTTCTCCATCCAGGACAGGACTTTAATAGAGAGTTCGATAGGTTTCATATCACTGACAGTTTTACACATTGGAATTGTTTGTAACATATTGATGACCAGTGTTACTCTCTGGTAGGATGGAGCGGATCCGGGCAAAGCAGGAAAGATCCCGAGAAGGAAGGAAAGATACCAGTGAAACAGTTGGAAAAGGTATGGTGCAAGATGGAGGGATACTAAAATAGAAGTCCACCTGGGGTTACATATTAAACTATACTTGAGTGAAAGATTACAAGTCTCCTGCATCCAGTGAAGGAAGCTACTGCGTGCAAGGGTACAGGTTGTGTATCATTCGAGATTTCACTTGTATTGCAGGCCTGATGCGCTGTTCACAAAATGTCTACTTGTGCACACCTTTCAGGAGCAGTTGGTGATCAGCAATGAGAACTCTGATGGAATTTCCTCTCTCTAACCCAGGAGCACTAAGGGCAATTGTGCCGCAACTGAGATCAGCAAACTCAACACAATCTGTATGGCCTAGTGTTGCACTGGGTGGTCCATTTATCCACTGGACCATCAGAAACCTTGTTAAATGTTTTTCAACCATTGGAATATCAGATCCTGGTAGATGGGTCAGTTGTGGGTATACACTGTACCATGAAGACTGCTTTCACTGGCATTGCTAAATTCATTGAATTGATTGTCAGCCTTCAAACCTCTCAAACATTGTACTTGTCTAAATCCACCTCTTGCAATGCTGACATTGGCAGGATTGAAGCAGCAGCTCTCTTGATCGTCAATATTGGACTAGAAGTCAACAGTGAAACAGTGTTTGTACAATTGTGCAACCTGTTCTCATCTCAAAAAACTCACTTCCAGTGTCAGTTAGTAGCAGCAATTTTCATTCCCTGTAGAAACGGTCTATTAAAGACACGCTTTATATTGATGTAAGTGCTCTTTGGAGTATGTGGAAGGACTGAGTAATACTGAAATAGATTTTGGCAACAAGACAAATGACATATACTCTTGGAAGTTATATCCCCTGACAACCAAAGCTTTATATGATGCCTTTATTACAAAGATGTACCCAAAGGTTTTTATTTAGCGATCGTCATACAATGCTAGTGCCAAGCATAATGTACTGTATATTCCAGTAGTGTTTACTGTGGGAATTGTGTTTTGTTTATTTTAAATTGTCCCGAATGCATTCGGCCCAGCCTGCCCTATCCGTAGGTTGAGGAGTTATATGGGTAATATTCTTGTTGCGACTGTTTTGTAAAAAGTTGCTCAAATAGAAGAACCAAGGAGGGAATTTCAGTCTCTTCAATAGGATAAGTTTGCAAGGGTTTTACTCAGCATCTCATCTCATTCTTTTTGCAACAAACAAAAATTCAGATCTGCTGATGTGTCGTTCATTATCACTTGTACATATTAACGGGTTTGAGATCTGCATTTCATGTGATAGACTTCATATGTTTACTCTTTCTCTTTTTTCCACAGGGTGGTATTATTGCACTTTTGTTTCTATTTCACTTGCTACGCGTGTCCTTCCATGCCCATTGGCCCTCTGCTGCCTCTTTGTTTGCACCTTTGTTTAACCCATGGGTGCTTGAACTGTGCCTTTCAATGTGAACTAACACAAGTAGATCATTGCCGCATGTTACTGTCGAGCACTGAGAGGAAGGGTTCCTTCCCTCTTTGTCTTGGTCAAAAAATAGGAGCAGGCTGTGAGCAGACGCTATTTAATAGAACTCTAATCTATTCCAAAACCTCTTAAGACCTTCTCAGGCCCTATATCAAATGTAAGGCTTATTATTAAAAATTAAGAAGTACTTTTCGTTCAGCTCTCACCAGGGAATTATGTTTTTCCCCAAAAAGTCTGAAGATTGACAGTATTGCTTCATGGAACAGGGGAAGGACATCAGGTGTCTGACTGTGTGCGTGTGGGGTGGGGAATGAGTGAAGGTGAGAGAAAGTGGTGGGGGAAGAGGAGTGACATTTATACAACTACTGAATAAAGAGCAGCAAACTTGCCTGCCTGTCCAACCCTCCTAACTGGGTATGTGTGTTAACAGTTAGGGAACCAAGGGCTGGGAGCGACACCAACCTAAGTACTGTATCTTTCAAGCATGGAACAGTTGAATAGAAACCGCTCATTTTAATGTAAATGTGACCTAATGTCATTGCATTCGATTGCTTTTTGTGAACATCGGTGCTAACACTGGCTCGGCATTAACGGTTCTTTAGTCTTCTGTCTCTGCCGGAGAAGAAGGGTGACGTGTTACGTTTTGTGTTGTGTTGCTGGTTTGTCGAGCGTTTTAATGGCAGCTTTGAATGAGGCAACATGTGATTGCACCTCCAGCAGCTAACCTCCTGCATCTCTGTGGTGTCGTCGTCATTGTTTGGCATTGTGATTCTCCAGCCACTGATGAACCCTGATACGGTGCTGGTTCCAGCTGGTTTTGCTTTCTTGGCAGCAGCCATCCAAGCCTCTCTGTCTCTCTGCTCAGATTTTGCACCCTGTTTATTACAGCTGAAAACAATGCAACACATTCAGAGCTTTAAAATTCCTTACTTTTATAGCTTCTATTAACCAACACGAAGGCAGGCAAAGCGCCTTCACACGGGGGTTTATTCCACATTAACAGCGACTCAGATCCCAGTGCGCTCGGAGTAGATCAGCTTGGGTTGCTGTGTCCCTCTTTGGTCAAATTCTTGTACAATTTGATGCCCCGAATATGTCGCAGCAAATCTATCTGATTAGTGCGATTGTTGAAAGCTGTAGTTTTGACTTGGAAACAACGTGCTTGTCTCCTGTCTGGCAGAGCAACCAGCAACGAAAAAGGAATCCCAGCAGAAAAAGAAATGGTGGCGTCCATGGTTAGACCATGCCAAAGGTATTTAATGGTGTAACTGCTTCTCATTGTTTGTCCGGAAGTCACACAGCCTTGGTTCATGCTCCGTTGTCAACCTTTTTGTGCGGTTTTAAAACCCGCGAGTGTATTGTGGGCACATTTGCTGAGCGTATGTTCGACATGGTTTGCTATAGTTTGGTCACCGTGATGCGTGAGGCTATGTGGGCTGTTCAGTTGCAAAAAGCATTTGATTTGCAGCCAGTTCCTCCTGGTGGTTTAAGGGTGTTGCATGGAATTACTTGGATTGTTTTGAACTGTGCCATGCTTGCCCCAAGCCCATTCATTTTGTGAACCGTCCTTCAAATTTTCCTCGAAACGTAAGACTTTTCTTCAAATTCCAGAGCATTTCTATCTACAGGCATGAACCTTTAGGGTGTTGCATGGTTACATGTTAGAGGGATGAGCTGAATGACTTTCTCTTGTCCTCAAATTTTTCTTGTGTTCTTAAGCATGTGCATGGGCACTTTCAGACCAAACCAAATTCCTCTGTCTAATGCAGCCTTTTTCACAGTCCTGCATGCATGCGTTCAAGTTACTGATCAGCACAGGTCTACCAGCAAGAGGTGGTCTGATTACGTACCCGTATTGGAACCGTTTCAATACAAACCATAATATAGAAACTTAGGATGTGTGTTGCTTTCCATGCCCAATTACTGGAGCTGACACAGTGTTATTCCAGTGGCAACCCACTGGTCACAACTGCTCAATCAGAATGGTGCTTAGCTGCTGTAGATCAAGATGTTTGAGCCAAATCACTGTGACTGTTATAAATTTGGCACAAAATCTTTGGATAACAAAGACACTAGTCTTACAGTTTTTGTTGACTCATAATCGTAGTTTAGTTGTTTGCCTGTCTTAAACACCTGTTCAAATCATCTTGTTGGTGACTAGCTGCACAGAGTAACGTTTAATGCATCGAATGGTGGAATATTTGATGCATTTTTGCAACTGCATAGGAAATGTGCCACAATATGTGAACGAGGTGAAATGCAGGACATTGTTTAATGAATGCGCCCAGTATAGCACATGGTTGATGATGAAGGTGAAATAACTCATGAACCTGAGACCCTTCTCATTGATGATCTGCAGTGCATGTTTGTGCAAAGCTTTGGTTTGTTCGGTAACTCCATAAGCAATTTCTTTTAATTCATCTTGTTTGAAACATTTCAACGACGTAGCAGAAACTAACTCTTGTCTCTTTCTCCCCAAACTGTTCAGTGCTGCAGTCGGGGGAGTATTACTTATTTGAGTCAGACAGCGAGGAAGAGGATGAGAGCGTACTGGACGAGCAGAAGCCACACAAGCAGAGTGCCTTCCAGGTATAAGCATAAGAACAACAAGCGGGAGATTAGAACAATAGCAATGGTAGGGCATTGCCACAGGGGGTTTGGCTGTAAAGCGCTTTGAGATGTCTCAAAGACGTGATAAGGCGCTATATCAAATCTAAGGATTATTATAATCAATTACAGAGTGACTTTGGTGCACACAGGCAGTCAGTTTTGAAAATCGAAACATTCTCAGAATTGTGTCTTCAAAATTATTTTGGATATTTATCGGGAAACCGAGGATTTTGTAACGAGATAAGGAGGGGATGGAAAGTCCCGTTCCATTAATGAGGGTTCCCACGGATAGCCTGTTTTGTGGCTGAAACTCTTTGCAAAATAAAGAACTTTAATCGGACCTTTAAGCTAAATCCAAAGGTCCTAAATTCCCTTTCACGTTTAGTGTGTTTGCGGCTTTATTTTTCATCTTTTTTTTCTTCTCTCGACTGAGGCCAGAGTGCAGTTAATAATCAGATGATAACAGCAGATATTTGGAACATTGGGTGGTAGGTGACCAGGAAATGATCACGCTGTGGCTTTATCCTTCTGTGAATTCTCTAGCTGGCCTACCAAGCTTGGGTGACCAACGCAAAACAGGCATTGAAGGAGCGAAATGAACGAAAAGAGCAGCTCCTGCAATTTGAGCGAGAAGCTCGGAGACAGCAGAGGCTGCTGAAAGCAGGTGAGAGCGTGTTCCGAGGTAAAACAGGGTTTCTGAACCTGAGAATTTTACCATTTCATCTCATAAAAGTCTCTCCCTTTATCTTGATACTGAGCTGTGACTGAAATGCTTTTCTGTTTTCTAATTTTTGATCAGTTACAGTTTGTTCCTGAAAGCCCAGCAAAAGGTTTTCCTTTAAGTCGAAACTGTCAAATCCTTTGTCATACATCTTGTCTATAAATGGCCTGTAGGTGATCACATTTTATTCCTTGTCAAAAGACATGATATAATTCTAAATTTAGAAGCTTGATAAAAAGCGAATTTCTTCCTAGGCATTTTCCACTTTTCATACTGTTTTTAGTACAAGTTAATCGTCTTCCTGGAGATATTAACCTTGCCTGTTATTAACGCTTTGTGTGCTCTTTTGATGGGGAATGAGTCCAGTGAGCCTGTCCTGCACGTTGTGTGTGATACGCTGTGTCTTTCAGGAGTGGCCAAAGGAGAAGAAACTGAAGTCCTGGAGGGCTCTTCTGTAGATGGTGACGAGGAAAATGTTGTATCATGTAAGTGTTGTAGTACATAGAAATACTGGACTGCCACAAGTTGTCAGTCACGTGCGATATATAGTCTTTGCTTCTGTGAGGAGTTCAGCACAGGCCTGAGATGCCAATGCAGAGGCCACGTCCTCAATTACCTCAATTAATATTGTATTTGTGTATTTACTGCTAAAAAAATAAACATATTTAAAAAAAGTCTATTTTCCCAAGTTGAAGGTGTTACTGCTCTGAGACACTACCCTGCATGGAGGGCTCTATATAAGTGCAAGTCGTTGTTACTTTAGCAATTGGATGTTCCTTTATGTAAAGATTTTATTGCTCAGTGTGTTAACTGCCACATCTGCTGAGATGCTGCTTAATGCTTCAGATCAGGGAGTGGAGGTGGAAGAGGGGGAAATCATAAAATAGTGAATAATGTGGAAAAGAAAAATCAAGAAGTGACACGAAGTACACTTACTGTGGTTTATTTCTACACTACCTGAGATATATGAGTTTGGGCCATTGTTTGTTGGTTTGGTCATAAAGAATGCTGGTGTAGCTTAGTTTTTAATTCTAATGACCATCTTTGTCTGTTTCACCACTTAGCAAAGAGCAATGTCGTTCAGCGAGTGATGGATATTCTGCGATTTCTCGGGATCCTTTTCCTGGTCATGGTAACTGGATTGACACAGTGGCTGAACACACTCGTTAAGCCATATATTGATACATCCACGATCCTGTGGAGAGAGCGCTATGTGTTGATCCAAAAACTTGCAAAAGTAAGTGACTGAATAGTTTTATGAAGAAATGATCATGTTTCTTGAGGAATAAAATGAAAATCAACTCTTTTAAAACAAAGCAAACATAAAATATTTAAAGTCTAACTTTTTAACGTAGTTTTGCAAGGTCAGAATTGCCTTTAGATTGATAAATTATACATTAATAGCTAATGGAATTTGAAAAATTGTGTATTATATATATGTATATTGCAATATTTTTCCGCCAGATTCACTAGACATATTACTTGGTGGATAAATCGCACTTTAATTTCTGCTTAAAATCAGTCCTTGCCCATCACTGCAAATGCACAGTATTTGATCTTTGCTGCCAATATTTGTTCAGGGTGAGGAGGTCGTAGGAGAAACTCTGGATGATCTTTACCAAATGCCAGATGACAGCAGTGAAATGTTGCTGGCGAATGCTGACTCTGAAGAAGCGCGAGCTGAGAAGGATTCAAAGGACTCCAACACATCAAGGCAGGTACACATAGGCGGGTAACCTGGCTGCTCAGATCTAAAGCCCATGATAGATGGTGTAAGTTGTTGTTGAGGAGGAAAAAAGGAAAAATAGTGACGTCTTGTATAAAGGCTCCTTCCGTTCTGTTTTAACCAACGTTAACTGTGCAGAAGGAACAATAGTAGGTCCCAAAATCCGAGAAACTTCTGTAGTTCAATCAAAAGCATCTCTCAAAAGCCACCACAGAGATGCCTAGCATTAACACAGATGGACTGCAGCGATGATTTGCTATTCCATTTAATGACACAAAGCCTCTCTCTCTCTTACTCAATAGGTCAGAACAAGAAGCACTGCAGGAAGAACAAGAAGATGTGCAAAGCATTCAGGATGGAGAAGAAATCCCAGTGCTTGATCCTGATAACGAAACACATGCATGTACTGAGGGACAGAAGTTGGACATGGATCCACCAGAGTCTGTCAGACCTTCCAAGGAGTTGGACGTTTACCTTATAATTCGGACCAGAACTGCCAGCGAGCTACTTGCCAACAGGTATGTGTACAGGCGTGTACAGGATCCAGTCATAGAAAGTAGAGTGCTGTGTGCACGTGTGCGTGTGTTATATAGCGCCCTTCACACTACCCTGTGTTGTTTTTGTTTTTCTGGAACTGAAGTTGACCCAGAACTATTCCAGTGGCGAGATGCTGATGTCATGTTTATGTTACAAAGGCTGCAATTTAAGTATAAAAAAGCGCGAGAAAGATGATGTTGACCTAAATGTCTAGAAGGTCTTGGTCTAAACAGTGTGAACACTTCATAAATCCATAAAGGGCAAAAGATTTTTTTGTCGACAGCAGCTTTTAAATATTTCAATATTAAACGAAACAAAGAACAGGCTAATTTTTTTTTATGATTATCTTTTCAAGTAACTTCTGCATTCAAGAGTTGAAAGATTCTGAAAAGTTTTACGATTCTCAGAACAGATGCCTGAAGCTGGTATACGCTGTGTACAATGTTATTGCTGCTAATTCCGAGTTAACCTGTTACTTCATCATCATCTTGAATAACATGATCTCCGCGTCCGTCATATCGCTTTTCCTCCCCATCCTCATCTTTCTCTGGGGAATGCTCTCCATCCCGAGGCCCAGCAAACGATTTTGGATGGTAGCGATCGTCTACACAGAGGTGAGTTGTCGGAATATTTGATGCCCACAAACTACACAGTCAATGCACTTTACAGTATATTTTGCGAGGTCTCAATGACGTGACAATGTGCTGTATCAAATGCAAGGATTACTGTTATTATTTATTAATAAAATGCATTTGCTAGAAAATATACCAAATACGTATTTTTTTCAAAAAAAGATTGTGGCTTTAAGTTGTTTAGACAAATATTTCAATAGGAGAAGTTGAAATGATCACTGAGATCTGTTTTGGTTATCATGTCGTTGAGACGTCTCAAAGCGCTTCACAGGATATACTGTAAAGTGAATTGACTGTATGTCTTGTGGGCGAAACGTGGCAGTCAATACGCTAACTGTGCTGTATGCTCTAACCAGGCTAATTCACTGTTGATAACCTAACTGTGCATTACACTGACATGACTTGCCCTTGTTTGCCTTGGCAGATTATGATCCTTGTGAAGTACATTTTCCAGTTTGGATTCTTCCCTTGGAATAGCTTCTACATCATTTCGTTTTTTGAAGACAAACCATTCTTCCCACCACGGATCCTGGGGTTGTACAAGAGTGATGATTATCTCAAATACGATCTGATTCAGCTGCTGGCACTCCTGTTCCACCAATCCCTCCTGAAGGTTCGTCGCAAATATGTAGACTCAGACATTTGTAGAGTATTACGAATTATGGTGCGCTTTCCGGGGGTTAAAATCCCATCCCCAAAACAAATAAACAATCCACAAACTGTTTGTGGGACACAGCTACACGCAATTACCTGCCACGTTTTGCCCACAAAAATATTCAGTCAAAGCACTTCACAGTATATTCTGTGAAGCGCTTTGAGACATCTCAATGATGTGATAAGGCAATATATCAATGGCAAGCATTATTATTAGCACCACAAACACATCGCTGAATCAACAAAACAAATCCTTTCAGGCCACTAAAACCTAGTGAACTAAGATGAAGAACGAGGTAAGTGCTGTAATCCTGTGAAACTGTATTCTCTGATTTTTTTGTTCTCTAGCGATATGGACTGTGGGACGAGCAGGAGGAGAGTAAAAAAAACCATGAGAAGAAAATAAACTCTGTGCAAGCTCCTAAAGAGGAAAAAGCAGCAACAGATGAACAGACACCTGAAAAGAAAACATCCAGATTCTTGTTCAGGAGGAGAAAGCAAGACAAAGGTCAGAGGTTCTGCTATTTTAATGAGAATCAAATCCTATGTTTAGTGATCGTCATGTTGTCACAATCACAATCAAAAAAAACTTGGAAAAGGTAGAGTGCTGTGTGGTTTTGGCTTTACACAAGCTGTGTGCAATAGTGCCAAGGAATCTTTAACGTTCACCTGAACAAGCATCTCAACCAAAGGATGGCATCTCCAACAATGTAGCACTAACGCATGATTGCATTGGAGTGTCATCTTACACGAAGAGCCTTAAAGTCCTCTTGAACTCAAAAACCTGTTCAGACAGAGTCAAGAGTCCTACCAACTGAGCCAAGCTAACACCTACAAAAGAAAGCTCTGGATGTTGTGCTAGCTTTTACGTTGTTGGATAGGTACAATCTGGGGACCACACAGCTAGAGATCTTGACCTGTGAATGACGTGAAATGGCTTATTGGAAAACATTGTTGTTTTTTCTTTAGAAAAAGAAAATTCTGAAAAGCCCAAACGAAAAGAGAAAAAGAAGAAGAAAAAGAAGAGGGAAAGAATAAGCAAGAAACTGATCGAATTTGGGAAGAAAGTAAAGAACTTCCTCATTAGTATGTAAGTGTGCATATTGGCTGTCATACATGTTAATTCTCAGGATGAACAGTGGTAAATTAACTAAATGCTGGAAGATAAAGGGCTCAGGTTTTTTTACACTGACCGTGAAAGTTCAAAGTTGAAAAAAAATCTTTTACGTTTTCCTGATTTATTTTTAACTGATGTCACTTTGTTCCCTGTTGTTGTGTGTTTTCAGTGCTATGAGCATTTACACGCCACTGAAGAGCTTTTTCTCCAGCATTCTTCACACCAAATACCGTGCAGCCACCGATGTCTACGCACTCATGTTTTTGGCAGATGTGGTTGATTTTGTTATCATCATCTTTGGCTTTTGGGCATTTGGAGTGAGTATCTGATCCTTCACTGTAAAATGTGCTTCTAATACTGTACTAAATACTAATACTCAACCCATGACTTTCCGTGAGGCACTGCTGTGTGCAATTGGCTGCCACATTTCGCCTACAAATATACAGTCAGTTCACTTTACAGTACTTGGAAGACGTGAAAAGCCCTACATCAAATGCAAGTATTATTATTAACACTCCTCCAAACTGTTCTGTTACCAAGAAAATATATTCTGGGATTTAGTGCTTTTGCAAGAACAAAAAAAAACTCTTGTTGATGTAGTAAGTGAATAGTTTCCATTCACATCTTACCTTCAAAGTCTCCCCTTTCCTTTATTTATCAAGGGCACCTTGAAGTTAAGAAACCTTGTAGTCAAAAAAAGAGCAGCCTTCAATGGCAAGATTTAAGAGTTTAATACAGTAATAACAATGAGGAGCACAGGAAGGGGAAGCTGTCCAAAAGTATAGTTGAAAATTATGCTTTCAGTAGAATTTTGAGAGGAAGAGAGCAGAATTTCAGAGGGCAAGATGGTCATGGCCTCTCACCTACACACACACACACAACACAATCAATCAACTGGAAAGGCTGGAAATGGGTCCTTGATGCTTTTGCAACCTTTTACCCTATTTCCTGGATTTTGTTGATATGTTGTTTGAAGCTTCTGCATCAATTCTACTCTTGCAGTCTCATTGATTTGCGTGTGTTTTTTGTACAGGCATGTTTGGGTTTTGAGATACTGACAAATGTTTTTCTTCAATGAACAGAAACATTCGGCAGCGGCAGACATTGCATCATCGCTGTCTGATGACCAGGTCCCTGAGGGCTTCCTGGTGATGGTGCTGATTCAGTTCTCCACTATGGTGATCGACCGCGCGTTATACCTTCGTAAAACTGTGCTGGGGAAGCTCATTTTCCAGGTCCTCCTTGTCTTTGGAATCCATGTCTGGATGTTCTTCATATTGCCTGCAGTCTCGGAGCGGTAAGAGGGCGTGGGGGAAGGAGAGGGGCAAAGGGAGGAAGCACTGGGTTAGAAGGGGATTTCATTTAAGTGGAGCCAAGAAATGATTAGGAAGGAATGTATTTTATTTTATTTATGCATTGTATTAGTGATGACAAACATCAAGTTCAATTACGGTACTGAGATGTCTTTGGTACAGAGACTCATGGGCAGTTTGAAATAATCTTTCAATAGCTAGAACTATATATTTTTGGGAATGTGGTTACAATCAATATTTATTACAGTTCACACAGAAACTTGAGCTCCTTTCAATGTATTAAAGGATAAGGAAGGTGTGTGTGCATGTGTAAATGGATTTAATATAGATTCACCCAGACATACACACTTAGTACAGTAAGTGATTACCAACTCTGCTGCTCACTCGATGTATCTGTGCTTTTTCTTTTTCAAACAGAATGTTTAGTCACAATATAGTGGTACAGCTTTGGTATTTCGTAAAATGCATCTACTTTGCTCTGTCTGCGTACCAGATCCGCTGTGGCTATCCGACGCGCATCCTGGGCAATTTCCTTACAAAAAAGTACAATCACCTGAACCTCTTCCTCTTTCAGGGGTGAGTTGGGAATAGCAACAAGTAAAGTTCTGAATGAGATTCACTTTTGATGTACTTCAAATGATGTACTTTGATGTACTTACTGCTTTAGGTCTGCTTGTTTATTAAGTCAGCTGAATTCTTGTGTTTTGCTAAGATTTTAACAGACACAACAACAACAACAACAACAAGATTCCATTTATAAAGCGCCTTTCACGTCAGGAGGACGTCCCAAGGCGCTGACACATAGTATTAATGAAGTGTATGTTTATACAGTTCTCTTGCTTTTCTTTTTAAGCTTCCGTCTTGTGCCATTTTTGGTGGAGCTTCGTGCTGTGATGGACTGGGTTTGGACAGACACCACATTATCCCTCTCAAGCTGGATGAGTGTTGAGGACATCTACGCCAACATCTTCATCATCAAGTGCAGCCGTGAGACTGAAAAGGTATTTGATTTCTACCGAAAACCAGCTTTGACCATTCTCTGTTGGTTCGGTATTGCTAAAACAATGGACAACTTGAAGTTAGGGAATGAACCTGGTCTGACCTCCTGATCGTCACAAACTCTTGTTAGGATTGCTAGAATTGCATTTGCTTATTTTTTTGTTGCAAGCAACAGTGGGAAAATATCTCAATCTGAAATTGGAACCAATATAGTTTCAAAACCCTGTCAGATTCCACTTGTAAGTGGTCGTATCTATCTTTTGTGCAGCGATATCCACAGCCTAAAGGTAAGAAGAAAAAGAAGATTGTGAAGTACGGAATGGGAGGCCTCATCATCGCTTTCCTCATCTGTGTTATCTGGTTTCCGCTTCTCTTCATGTCGCTGGTCAAGTCCGTGGTGGGAGTGGTGAATCATCCGATCGATGTGACTGTAACTGTCAAACTTGGAGGTTACGAGGTAAGGAGTTGGATCAGAATTAAAACTATAGAAACCTGTGATGATGCACTTTTGCCTAAAAGAAAGTGGGTGCTTCCCAACAATGTATACTTTCCCAGTGTACAGTATACAAAACTGGGATATGCAACATCTTTTCGATATCCATGCTTGCTGTCTCTCTCTCTTCTAATTGAGAGAAACTTATGCATAATAATCAGCCACTGTAATTAATCCTAAATCTAACTTTATATTTACAGCCTCTATTTACAATGAGTGCGCAACAACAGTCTCTAAAACCATTCACCCAAAAGGATTATGAAGATCTCTGTTCAACATTTGAACGAAAACCAGTGAGTTTTTTTTTAAGTAAGATCATTGCATCCAAATGCGTTCTATTTTTGTTCAAGGGGCAATTCGTACTTTGCATGAGGGCAAAGCTAGTGCATTCAATAGAGATCACCACCTCGGGAAGTTATTTTGCTGCTGTATGATCTATAACCGATTTCCCAGTTCTCTTATTAAAATTGTTTCCTTCCAATTTCTACAGGCTGCTATGCAGTTTATCACACTGTACAGTTATGAAGATATCATTACTGCACACGTAGAGGGGAACTCAGGGTCTCTCTGGAATATCAGCCCACCCAGTCGTAAGGCAATGATTGATGAACTGGAGAGCAATTCAGTGATGACTCTTCGCTACATGTGGAATTTCCAGAGGTAAGAACATCATTTTGCATCAACTAGATCCCAGGCATAGACATGATGGGCCAAATGGCCTCCTTCCGTACTGTGTAATGTTATGATTGCATGATTTTCAAAGTGTATGAAAAACCTTTATATCAAGGATATATTTTCTTCATACTTATGTAATTCCAGTTGAGGACACGGTATGAGACAGTCTTCTATTGATTTCAGAATAGAAGACAACAATAATGATTAATATATGAACATACAGTTTCCTACAACTTTTCTAATGCATTTTTATGGGTTAATAAAAAGTATTATCTTCTGGTCATTTTTTGTTTGCAGAGACCTGACTCTGGGTGGAACAGTGGAGCACTCATCAGATAAGCACATCATTAACCTGAGCCCCGAAGACCCTGTCCGGGAACAGCTAGCCAATCTTCTTCAAGGGAATCGCAAAGAGCCTGTGTAAGCTTTCAATTTTACTTCTGTTTTTTTTCTCTAAATGTATGATGTAGTACGGTGGCGTGATTAATATAGACCGCTGTCCGCAATTGGCTGCCGCGTTTCACCCACAAATTATGCAGTCAGTTCACTTTAAATTATATTCTGTGAAGCGCTTTGAGACGTCTCAACAAAATATGGCGCTATATCAAATGCAAGGATTATTATTATTATGTCTCAGTAATTTTTTTGCTTTGTATTAAAACGCTGAGACGAGGTAAAAAATAGTTGAGCATGTCAGTAACTAAATTATTTAAGATGCATAAAGATTTGACCTAGTTAATTCATGGTTCATCATGACTCCGTTTCAATGTGTGCCTAAATGTCATATGTCTCATTTGAGAGAGAGAGAGAGAGTGAAACTGGTTAAAAAAGGTGCACATTCAAACACTTCACTTTCAAGGTCATTAATAAACACTAAAGTTGAGCATAATTGTTTCGTGGATATATTTCTACACTACAAGTTGATGTGAAGCAGAAATCTGTATATGAATCGATTTGATATTTCCAATATGACTAATTTCAGAGTAATATCACATATGATCCCAAAATACACTCGAGCTCCACATGGGCCAGAAGCGAAACCTGTTCACCAGATTAATGAAGGTAAAACCACCTTTTTATTTGTTTGAAAAGGAACATTAGCGTATTTTGAAACTGGTAAATAAAATTCCAAATTAATTATGTTTCTACCTATTACATTCAGCTATGACTAAGCATTGAATTTTTTCACTACCGGGAATGTATTCTGGACAGTAACTTATTTCATGAAAGCCGTTTCTATTTCATCGACCGCCACAATGAAATGGTTTCTCATTGACAGAAAATGCCTACCTAAATGTGACGATGGAGCTGCATAGGTACATCCAATTGGATGCGAATAAAACGGACTCAATCTTGGAATGGTGGGTGATTAAGACCAAATCGAAAGAATGCAAACAACATGCGTGCAACGAACTGCAGATGGTAATTTTTAGTGACAAGGTCAGCCCACCAAGTCTCGGTCTCCTTGCTGGATATGGGTATGTTTACTCTGTTTAATTCAAAAGTAACATTTTGCTAAGATTTTCTTCAGCTTGGGAGTGCGATAGTTTAAACTGAATATAACTAAACTGATTCAGACGATGTAAATTGTTGATCGTAGAATTAATCACCGAGAGTACTGGAAGACTAATATTTTGACTCCAATTTTTTTTCCAGAATAATGGGCCTATATGTCTCAATTGTGCTGGTGGTTGGAAAGTTTGTCCGTGAATTCTTCAGCGATATCTCGCATTCTATCATGTTTGAGGAATTGCCTTGCGTGGATCGGGTGCTGAAACTGTGCCATGATATCTTCCTGGTGCGGGAGAATGGAGAGTTTGAGCTGGAAGAAGAGCTCTTTGCCAAACTCATCTTCTTGTACCGCTCACCTGAAACAATGATCAAATGGACAAGAGAGGACTAACAGCGGTGTGACTCTTTTCTTAATCAGTCATTCTGGTCCCTCTTTGCCTCTGCGTATGTCTCTCTCTTACTCTCTCGGCTGAGCCGAGTTGAACATGCACATTGGGCCCTGGTGGAAGAGTTACCTCAGATTCTGAAATTATGAAACCTGATTCACGTCCTTCCAATTCTTGCTGCGGGAGCAATTTTTTTTTTTTTTTTTACGTATCATGGGTCTTGTATTGTGGACTTGATGCATTAGAAAACAAACACTATTGTAAGAGGTTCACTTTGAGACATGAAACAACAGGTGTCCTCTATCTGAAAGCTACACGTTGAACAAAAACTGAGACTTGTTTGGGCTATACTTTGTTTCTCCTACGTATCTGCACGAGGAACAACTTTAACATTTTTTTCTGTTATTCTAACTGGTTATTCCAATTTGGGTTAAAGCTGCAGCCCTAGCTATTTATTAACCCATCACTACAAGGAACATAGTCCACATTTATCAAGCTTGGGGAAATGTTGAGGTTTAATAACCTTGTTCTACTTTCTGTTCAACAAAAATGCCAAGCTGTTTTATAATTCTACAAAGAAAATGAAAACCTGAAACATTATTGATAACACTATATTTTTATACTATTTGGGGGAAATTAATGCTTTACAGATCACGTATTCACAATTTATTTTGATTACTTGCAACAAGGTGAAGGAGATGTTATGTCGCTCCAGCTCTGGTGAAAATTCTTCACATTGAGGAGTCTACAAGGATCGTGGGACAGTCGGTGCCCATTTGCTGCACTTGAGAGAATAGGAAACTGGATTGAATGTTGCAATAGTCAGCAGTGTGAAAACCTGACTTCACAACAGTGTCAAATAACTGCTTTCCTATGTTTCGCTTTTGTACATTTTTCAGAACTTTGAATTTAGAAATCAATATACTTTTCTAAGTGAATCCGATTTTCACTGTTACCTAATTGTCGTAAATGAAAAATGACGTTTATATTAACATGGAGCTCTTGTGCAACAGATTAATTGCATCTCGCATAAAGGTCACGTCACAGTTGTTGCAATTGCAGGATATCCAGGGACACTAATGGTAATAGTAAAAACTAAATGTTTGTATCAGCTAATGCACACTTTTAAGATTGATGCTGTGATTCTAATTTGGGAACTTCAGACAGAAAGGATACGGTCATTGTTTTCCTTAGTTATAATCATAAAAACCTAAAAGATGTATTGCCCTGTAACTCAGTGCAGGAAGAAGGCTGCTAGACAATGTAAGTGTTGCTTTAGAAAAATCACTTGGCACGTTTTAGTTCACAAACCGTGTACTGCAACGTTACTGTCCAGGAGTAACAAATTATATTTAAGACAATTTTCCAAGCCTTTCCACAACGATTTCTAGATATCTAAAATATATATTTAGAATAACACTACAGTATAGTTACTTTGGTTACAAAGGAAAAAAAACTTTGAGAACACAAACAGTAAATACTTATTTTCATAGTTTATTAAATATAGAACTTTTGGTCAGAACTTTCATGTTAGTAGAGGTTTGGAATTCTGCAATCAGGAGTCTTAATCATTTATCTCTGTGCCAAAAAAAAATGTTTTCAGTCAGGAGAGAGCTTTAAAGCTTCGATTTTTTAAAAAACAAATGTAATTTTATAAGACTCTAGTTGAGTTAAAAACCAAAGCTACAAAGAGAAACTTGAACCAACATGACAATTCTGGGTAAAATCCAGAAAAAAGCAATATGAAGATGTGAGCAAATGCAATCCAAATTAGTGAGTAGGGATCAACAATCAATTTTGAGATTGTAAGTGGATTTGAACACACGGTGGGATTTTTGTATTCTGCATTCATTTAGAAATAGTAAAGCATAATCAGTTCCATTTTACAATAGCTATATTCAGAATGATGTGCCATTGTAACAAAAATTGTCTGGAAGTCCCATTTTCGGAAAGTATGTGCATATTCCTATGTGCAGTTTCTGTAAATTGTGGGGATTAAACTTAGATATGGAACCATTGCATAGATAGTGAGCACATTTTACCAGGAATGGAAAGCTTTGTTTCTCTGAATTTTTATAGAAACCTCAAGATGATTTACTGATGTGTTAAATGCTAAGAACAGATGATGAGTGGATTTCAAGCTAATTTAGAGACATGAACAAGCCCTGTTGCAAAATAGTGTTGATTTAATAGTCTATGCCAATATTACTTCATTTGTCTAAAAGTATGCTTATTACCAATAGATTTTCATTTTGGATAAGAACTACAAGTAATGATAAGTATTGGATATAATTTGGAGATTGTTACTGTAATAGGACCATAAACCCAAAGCAATGTGCCTTTTTCTAGTAGAGGTTTCTAATGTCTGTGGGTATGAAGAAAAGCAGTAATTATTTTCATTCACTGGTGACCGATGAGAACAGCTGTTTCAGTTTTTGTATGTGTGTTTCAAGTTCTGCCAAAATCTTACTATACCCATCAGATTTCCTCCAAACCTGTCTCTGAAGCATACCAAATGTTTTGAAATAGTGTAGAGCAATTTTAGGAAATTATACAAACAGGGCGAACAAAGAACCTCTCTGTGAATGTGGTGCTATTATTCTGTCTGAACCTACTGCTTCAAACAAATTCTTTTGATCGGGTTAAAAACAAACTGAGCTCTATTATGTGCTGTTGTAACACATCTGAAGTGTTCAGAGCCCGATTACCTTCCATTTTATTCCAATAAGTTTGATCTGGTTGAACTGTTGAGTCTATTGGTAATATTACTGCAATTTTCCATTCACAATTAAATACATTTTTGGTACCTACATGTTTGTCTCTTCTGTCCTAAAATACGGATTTTGACAATAATAATCCTTGCATTTGATATAGTGCCTTACCACATCTTCGAGAGCCCCCCCGCGTTTCACAGAATATATTGTGAACTGAATTGACTGTATATTTTGATATTGTTTTTTGTTGTCCTAATCAAGCTGCTGTAACTAGAAATCAGAAAAATGGATTGTGGCGAACTTGAAAAGGGATGTGATACTGAAGGTTCTCAACAGTCCAGAGCTTGACACACAGACAGGTAGGTCAAAACCAAAGGTGGGAGAGAGTACATTTCAAATTTATTTAATATTTCAACAACGTTAGTATTTACAGACTTAACATTTAAAGTTAAATCCAACCTGCAGGAGCAGCGCAAAATAAATGAGAATACAAAACTACATATTAAGTAGCCTTAAAGGGAGAGATCCATCTTGGTGCCATTGATTATAATTCAGCCCATTTGACATTGACTTTCTTGCTGGGAAGTCATAGCAAATGTGTAGCAATCTAACAGCAATAATTCAAGCTGCATGATAATTTTTTATATATTGCTTGGCTTTGTTTTATGTGAAATCCACGATGAATACTTTACTGGTTATTCCCAAATTAAATATACTTTTGTCTAATCTTGAAAAATTGCGAGGTTGCTCCTTGTTCTTTGCAATGTTCAGTAGTTTTCATCGCTTTCGTCCTCAGGAGGCAATAGGAACTCCTGGATCTGTTCTCTCACCTGGGCTCTGAAATGTTCAAAAAGAGAATTAAATGCTGGAGTCCCACTAAAGTGGTTCTAATATTGCAGATTTACTATATAAGTGTCTCCATTTCAACATTTAATTTTGATTGTAAGGATTTCATGAACAGAAGGGGTAAAACACTCGAAGGTATCAGTTGCAGAAAGATTCCAGCACAGGAAAACAACTTTGCAAGATAAGTGGATATCTTCATTCACATACACAAGCTTACAAGTTTATTTTAAGGTTAGAATAGCGTGGAGATTTAACGCTAATTCGAGACTAGCTTCAAAATAATTAAATCCATCCTTCAGTATACTGTAATCAATCTCACCTGCGTTTTCTACGTTCTGCTTCAGACAAAACGTACTGTGGTAAAAGGGACAGTGACACCTGCAAAAATAATAAGTTAGATTCAACTACTGGATTGTTTTGAATGAGTATCTAAACCATCCAAATGATCAGATTTTCATACGACCGATACAAACTTAATATTTTTAGTTTAATTTGTCCAATCTAAGCAGAAACTTTAAAATTGTACATTTAAACAATGTGGGAAAGCAGCACTTACTTTTATGATCACACTTACCATATCTTTCACAGTCAGTCTACAGCTATAGCACAGTAGCGTGAGGAAATCAGTGGTTGTGTTGCTGCAAAGATGACAAAAAAAACAGGCACTGGTAAGTAACTTGAAAGTTTCAACATTAAAAGCGTAGATTGACCAAAGGTCATTCAGATCTTTCATAAAGGTCTAAAGAGCAAGAATCTAGAGGTGCACGTGCTTACCTTACTGGTGGATGACAAGCTCCTGAGTTTGTACTGCAGCACTTTCCTTTCTCTTCAGCTTGATTATCACAGCAGGATTGCTCAGAGACCTTGTTGACAGGCATTTGGTCAGGGGATTGCTTACATGACAGTTTCTCTGATATTAGTGTTGCCTGGAATGCTGAGGCTTCCTCTTCATGGAAATGAAAAATGTCAATGTTTACAAATCTGAATTGCTTAATTTATTTTCCTTCAATGGTCATTTCTAAGATCATGCTAACAAATCCTGCAATTTATTGAGGGTCTACATCTTTTAAGCACAAATTAAATTTTCCTCCCCCAATAGAAAACGAGATGAGTATACAAAAGTCTTGTCACACTTCCCCTGCACTTATAACTTTAGAAGAGAAAGTTTGAGGAAGCCATACCATAGGACAACATAAAACAATAAAAAACACATTCAGCACGACAACACTCTTAGAACGACATTGTTAAGGAAAGCTGCAGTATTTATTAGTTTCTAAATTTTCCAACATACCTACTTTAGTGTCCATAATACAGAGACAAAGCAAACACTTATCAGTCTGTTCAACCCCACTGTTTATGTCCGAACAAGCTGTGTTCAGCTTCTCACTGGTCCTAAATTGAGAAAATTAATTAGAGATTACAATGACAATATTGTTCAGTTTGATACACGATCCACACCCAATCTTATCCATTAAAAATGTGAAGATATGCAGAAGAGTGTTGAGGGAAGAGATTTCTACTTTTGCGTACTGATTCCTGCCTGCCTGGAAAGCTGCTTGTTTAAGCAGTGATGTGTAGCCCGGAAAAGCAAAGGTGAAATAAGGGTAACATACACTGTACAGGAGAAAATAATTTTTAAAAAGTGGTTCAAAACATTGGAGTGTAGTTGTATCTTTAAACCCTCTTCACATCCCATAGTTCAAATGTTTTAGAACATTTTGCTATTCCTTATTGCAAACAGAAGTGGAACAATTCATACCTGTACACAGTGCTTACAGTAGATGGAAAATCAGTCTGTAATTTATTGACAAAACTCTCTGTCAATCGATGGATACTAGCTTTATCACTGGCCTGTGAAAGAAAAAAGTAGCTTATGTCATACAGAATAAATAACCTGTGCAAAATATTTGTTCCTTATTGAATTTTCAGGCTGCAATTTGAACAATGCAAAATCATATGCGAGTTAAAAAGCTGGGCATAATGGATCACCTATCCAATCACTAGCTCTCCACTCACCAGACAATATCTGGCATAAACTCACCAATATCTGGCATAAACAGATTAACAGCTTGGAGGTATGGAAGACATTTTGTTGAGTCTCTCAGGATCTTTGGAAGCAAAACTGCAAAATCTTGCAGGTGGAAACTCACAAGTATAAACAATAGCACAGACTTGTTGAGCCAAATGGTCTATTTCTGTGTTGTAATAGTCAATGTAATTCTATGATTGGTGTATGAAATATTGAAGTTGTTGAAACAGAACATCAATTTAAATATGTTGCAACTTCTCCTTTGAAATAGTACAGTGACAGAATACAGAATGATGTTAAAATTAACTCCCCTCTACAAATATTGAACTTTATCTACCCGAGTTGCTATTTTGTACACTGGCATTTCGGCACGCCAGACTTAGCAAAAATATCTGCCTAGAGAAGGCATTTGAATCAATTAGTGCAGTAGGTTTCTTACCTTTGTGGTCCAATGCTGGAGTGAAAACAGTAGGAACCTCAAAGAGTTTGTTGTAGAAAGCAATTTTTTTAGATGAGTATTCCCTCATCGGTCGTAAAATCATGATGTCTCCATAACGATTATCTGAAAAATCCCTGTGTTCAGAAAGAAACAATATTTATAAAGCAACTTCCCTGAGCAGTTCCTTGTGAAACACTTTGAGACTTTATAGGTGCTACATGAAATGCAACAACAGCTTTAATTTATATAACACTTTATTCTCATTGCGGAACGTCAAATGCAGGATTATTGTAGAATTATGAACTCCACATTTAACAGCTGCTACAAAAACTCACAGATGTCAGAAAGTAACGAGGAATCCATACCTCTGTTTTTTCCGTATTAGATTATTTTTGAATATCCACTTTAATTCCTATACAAATTTACCATCTAAATAGTGCAGTCACATTGTGCAGAATATCCTGCATAACACCACACATACAAGGTCTGGGTCAAAGTTTTCTACAACAATTTGGCCTCACTTCCACAATGGTATAATGAAAGACAATGTTTCAAAATGAAAATAGTTGGGACCAAATTTCCAATTCAGATATTTTAACTGGTGGTAACTACAGACGCCCGAGAACTTATCCCAAAGAAGTTGTACTTTTCTGCAGCAGAACAAGATATCAGAAGCTTCATTCAAATCTTCCACACAGCTAATCTACATTAATGCTTACTGTATCAACAGCCAATGAGGCTCCACGTCCCAGAAGAAATATTAGTCAGAGTTTTTACTGCCAATCGCGTACAGCTGTCTCCCATCATTATCTTACTGTATTCTTTGTTCCTTGCTGTATGCAGGATCAGATGATGTCTATCAAAAAAAAATTCCCATGTAAGATATACAAATTAGTATCAATGAATTCATAGATCAGAACTCAAGTTTCATTATTCTAATTAACTTATCTAGTAAAAACCTTGTTGGGATAAAAAATTTAAATCTTGAAATCAAACTTTTGTTCCATTGACAGGATTTGGCAATTATTCCCTGGATAAACAGCAGCCCAACCAGTCCTGTACATCTGGTGAAACAGCATACAACTTAACTAGCAATGTGGCTGCTGAAGGATGAAATCAGCAACATTTGACGTCACTTAGTGGCTATATTACAATGGTTTGACTGTTCTTCACAGACTTGACATCAGTACTTGCAGCTGCTTGCTTGGAGGGGGCAAGCTCAAGCAAGCAAGCTTTCAATTTAATGTGTCAACCCAGAGCAGCTCCATTTTGCACCTTAAGCATGGAACCAACACGCACACTTTGTATATAATGGAGCTGTTAATTCAAAGCATTAACTACAACTGGAAATTATGAGTAGTAACAAATACAAACTACATTTGTACCCAATCTGTATGGCCAATAAAATAGGTTAAATAGATAGTAATAGCAATATTGAACAAGTCTTGAAGGGATTAAAAGTTTTATCAGGCAGAGAGCACTGAGCAGAGGCAAAGTACCCAGCTCGTGACAAAAGAAAGAAAAAATGTGTTTTTAATTTTAGGTACTATACTCTCAATATATCAAGGGGATCACTATAGCAGGGGAGCACAATGTGTTGTGAAGGAACATCAGAGATCTTGCAATTTACCGTAATGTCTGCAGCAACTCCTCTTTGGCCGTCAATGTCTTTACTGAACTAAACAGTTCCTTTACAGCCTCGGTTTGCTCCAAGGTAAATGGCCACTTTCCACTGGGGAAGTTTCTGATAAAATTGTTGCAGAATTCTCTTCCTCACAGCAGTAGAGGTACTGAGCTGGTCAAATTTTGCTTCAATCTGTTCTGAATGCGTGACATTCCTTTCATCCTCAACTGTAAGTCTTTGTTCAACATCAATCAGGGCCTCTCGCTGTTTTTGTAGGAAATCATCCACTGCCTCTTTATAATTCTGGCCATGGCTTGTTGGACTGGAGGACACACTGCAGTATGGAATTAGGCAATTTGAACACCTTAAAAAAAGAAAACTGGTCAGCATTTTTTAAAAATATATCAATTTCACTTATATTTGCAAAATCTTGCTACTCATTACCAACACTTAATCATGTAAGTTTCACTGCAGAAACAAATTTAAAATTTGATTCATTTAATAGTTATTCTAAATAGACTATGTGATAGGGAAATCCTGAAGCTTGGAATATGGCTTCCAGCTGCATTAATGTTTCCTGTCTTTCTTCTGCGCTTCGACCACACACAGCTCCCTCTACATATGTGAAAATAGGAACAAATTCACCATTTGCATCTAATAGTCTCAGAACGACTTCACACACATACACACAATTTATCAAACCAAACTAAACAGCAGAAACCAGGTAATATTTGAATGCCAACTTTTGTATTTAAATTCAAAATTCCCCCCATCTTACTTTAATCGCTCAAACAATCTGATTTGGTTGATATAATAATCTTAAAGGTTCTTTATGCCTTCAATACTAAAGCCACTTTCCATTCTACAAATAGCAGCCTCACATTGTTACCATCAGATTCCCTATTTCCGACAAATTTAGATATACAATAATGACTTAATCATGATTTTTTAAAAATGTTGCCTCGACCATCACATGATCACCCACACAAATTGCATGCTGATTACAACCACAATACTTAAACAGTTACATAAAACCCTACGAGCTGCGCAGTACTTTACCATCTATATGGACAATCCCAGGAGAAAAACGCAATTTCTTTGAAGCTTCTCTACTCAAACCCTGAAAAAGAGATTTTTAATGTGCTGTAAACTTGTTTAATGGCACTCAATTTGTGCAAAAGTGTTTCCATATTAATATAAATTAGCTAAACTTACAATTTCATTCTTTTATCCCATTGTTAGGACTTAAATTTACAATAAATGTTATAGAACATTAACAGTGAATTGCTAACATTGATTTAACAATATTGCTGTTTAACAAGCATTTGATGTAATAAGGCTCCACTTTATCTAATTCACTTCACCAAAGCCTTATTGCTTTTTGTACGAAGGTCTATTAGCATCAAAGAAGGACTCCAATAGTACGAGCTGTGAAAAACAAGTCATTTTGAGGGGAATACTGTGAAACATTTTAAATTTCATGGCATCAAACTGTGCTAGCTGAACAGTTTTAACCAACCACCAATTTAGCAAAACTTTTATTCCCACAAAATACTTCTACAATATCCATCTATATATGTGTCCATGTGATAATGTAACTCGGACATCTGTTAAGAATTCTAGAGTAAATTCATTTTAACTAGCTAGGACGGACAACTGGCAGACATGTTACAATAATTACTTGCATTTGTACAGTACTTAGAACGTCAACATTTTAAAAGTGCTTCACAGTAATTACTGTCAACTGTAGACTGTTTTTGTTTGCAAACACAGCAACTACTTTGCACACAGGAGAGTCCCTCAGACTCAGAGGTGAAATACCATTTATCCGGAGGAATAGCACCCAGGGCACCTGGAGAAACTTCCTTCCATTTTGAATAGTGCCAAGGGACCTTTAATATCCATCTCAACAAGCAGACAATCTGGATTTGATTTAACGTTTCATCTGAAGGGCAGAACCTTCTGCAATGCAGCACTCCTCAGGCACTGCAATGTCAGTCTAGATCTTTAGAGACAGAGTAGATTATTCAGGATTCAGTCTAAAAACAAGCACCTCCAAGTGGAAAAGCAATGATGAAGGAGGGGCCTAAACTGCATCTGTTGTCTTTTCAGATGGGATGGTGAGAAAGTGGCAACTATAAAGGCAAAAAAAATTCACTAAATACAAAACCATACCTCTTGAACCTGACACAACATTGAACTCTATGTGGAGCCACCTGATAATGCCAATAAGACCTGTTCAGAAAAATAATAGAGCAATTTAACAGATGGAAAATACAAGTACATTCCCAGTCATTGCTGTACAGTGCAGCTTTGTTAAATGTCAGCTCATAGTCCAAGTAAAATGTAGCATACATTCAGAGAATTAAGTGAAATATTTGGCACCAGACTATTTTTCCACTGGAAAAATAATATAAGTACAATTTTCTTACTCTAAAATGAGCTAATAACTGGCTTTGACATCATGAATAACAAAGTGACACATCTCTAGCAAGTAAGATCAATGACTGTATTCCATCCATCTTTCATTGCTTTATCTCTGTATCTTCAATATTTATAGCTTTTTTCTGTGACAATAGTCAAGTAGCATTTTATTCCCCTTTAATATTTCTCAAGTAATTAATCCTGATGATTAAAAAGTTTTTTTTAAAAATATACAAGAATAGAACATTTGCATTTTTGACTTTTCAAGGACTGGAATAAAGCATCAAACACAAGCTTCCTTTTGCAAAGTACTGTAGTTAGTTTACCCGCTAACAACTAAATAACTGATAGTCAATTTTAGAAATAATACTTTTCCTTGGATTATTCACCTTCTCTCCTGGAAAAATGAGGCGTGTTTTTCCCAACATAGCACGGAATTTGTGTACAAAGTAGTCTCTGAAGCAGGATCTGAGTAACAAGATACACATAAATTAAAAAATGTAAAGTATTCTGGATAATTGTCTTATGTCTGCTATCTTTAGTCCATAATAAGTACGCTGGCCTAAATTAATAGTAATATAAAAAGCACAAAATGGGAATTCTTGGCCAAATCAGGCTCACCAGATCTGTTAAGTATTATATATTACAATCTAATTAATAATACATCAAACCAGCTTTTTTTAATTAAAGTTAGCATTGTTACTATTTTCAAATTGTGTAGTATGTATATATACAGAATCTGTAACAGTCATCAATGTAACACTTCCAGTCACAAGCATATGAATGCTTTACCACACTGGTCAACCACTGAAATGTTACCAGATAATTGAACCCACATACGATCCTTCAGATGCTTATTTAGATACTCATTTTGAAGACTCAAACAATCCACCGGCTTATTAATATTTGTATTGGGACTGTTAGACGTACATTTATATCTGGTATGTAATTGAATAGATTGTATTATTATTACAATATAACTGCACAGATTTGTTTTTCAGATTGGGAATCAATTTGAAAACCAGTGTGCTACGCGAGTGAAGTTTTCAAAAATAAATTTGAAGAAGCACGTAATACTTACTTACAAAACGCATCTCCAACTCGAATGACTACCACAGCGCAGCCCTCTTTACACTTCATACATTTTTGTCCAACACTGCAGAAAACGAAGCAAGTTAGAAATAAAGATGCAGCTTACTTACAGCAGCTTTAGTAACTCAGTTTTGTCTCATTCAGGAGCACGATTCTGTCAAGATTGGAAATGTCAAATCGATCACTGGCAAATAGTACAACACTGGTCTCATTTGGACCTCAATTCGAATTGAATAAACCTTTCTCCCCAAAGCGCTGCGAATTCCTACTTTGTTTGACGAGTCTTGATCCTGGAAGGCACAGCTGTCCATTTATATGTTAATGAATAACTTTCGATTTCAACCAGTTCCGATGGTTTTAACACATCAAAAGACACCATAATTCAGTGTCCCACTGTCCTGTAACACCACCGGTTCCAACTCAAATCGTTGTTGGACAAACGGTAGAGCTCTTGCGCTAAGAACCTGGAGCTGCAGTCACTCACTCCGACGTGTGATCGGATCGACCCCTTAAAAAGCGCAGCAGCTTCACGGCAATTTAAGGCGAAAAAGCCAACGTGGATCCGTTTGCTGAGACCGTCTTCCATCTCGTTTAACAAAATCGAAATGAAAGATCGCCCTCCACTTATCTCGGTATCCCTCTGCTGCGCTTCCCACTAGTCCAGTCTCTTGTTATTCTCCCTCGGTCGTGTTGGATCTCCGTTCTTTACAAAGCAACCCCACGCTGTGTTTATTTATATATATATATATATATAAACACACGCACACAAAAAAAACTGAAGCTCGTTACTTTGGTAGAAAACCACTGCTCGAAAGGTACAGACAGCCCGGGATGAGCTGCCGTTTGAGTGGCCAACCCCAGGCCAGAGTGTGAAGGGCCCAAACGTTGCATTCGTTCACGATATGTCTGCTGTTTAACACCTCGACCCTCGGGTGGGAGCCCTCCCTGCGCTGGGAGGGGGGGGGGGGGGGGGGGGGAGGAGGTGGGGGCAGAGGCCGCAGAAAAGGCCGAGCGTCTCTCTCTCTCTCTCTCTACGTCTCTTAACAGCAACATCGCGGACAAAGCCGCTCATTCTCCCCCTCACCTCAAGGCCGCCGTCCTCTGCAGCGCCTCGTCCTTGTAGTCTTCCTCCACCTGACACATGGTCCCTCGGACGACAGGGACGGGACGGGCCTCCTGCTTCCCCCCCTCTCACGACACCAACCTTGTCAGTCTGGCTCGCGGTTGAAACCCCGCCAGCGGCTTCCACGCGCGTGGGCGGCGGTTGGTTGGTTGGTTGGTTGGTCGGACGGACGGACGGACTGACTGACTGGCGGGTGAGCGGGAACCGGCGCGCGGCGGCCGCCCACTCCCAACCCCCTGCCGTTCAGTTCGGTTCAGTTCACACGCACTCAGAACCGACCGCGCGCGGCGGCGGCGACGACGACGAGCGGGGGAGCAACTTCCTGCGGATTCTTGTCGCCCCCCCCCCCCCCTCCTCTCGTAATAACTTTCTTATTAATTCTTCTTTTTATTATACATATATATATCTATTAACATACATGTACAGCAGCACCCACCCACCCCCCCTCCCCCTTTTTTTTCTTTAACCGTGAGAATAACGTCGCGTTTTTTTTGGGGGGGGGGGGGGGAGGTGGTCGGGGAAGGGCAAATGGCGCCTTTCCGTGGCAACGTTCCCGGCCGGTGAGGTCAGGCTGTTCGGGGTGGTGGCGGCGCGGGATGATGACGCGTCGCCTCGGCGAGACTCGGCGCGCGGTTTGATGACGGGTGTTTAGGTTTGTGGAGGGTCAGCGATGGCGATGTTTCGGAGTTTAGTCTCCGGGAACCCGACGAAACAGGCGGCGGCGGCGACAGCGGCGGCGGGAGAGAACTTGGCCGATTCGTTCAGCTGCCCGATCTGCCTGGAGGTGTACCACAAGCCGGTGTCCATAGCCAGCTGCGGACACGCGTGAGTTTGCACGTAGAAAGCTCGGGAAGAACTGGAGTGAGTGAGTGAGCGAGTGAGTGAGTGAGTGAGAGGGTCCGGGATTAGTGCAGACAATGGCTGTGCGCGGCCTGAGGTGGGAGGGAGATGTGTGGGGGGTATGTGAGGAGGTGGAGGGGGTGGGTGGGATGGAGGG